TTTCAAGTGCTGTGTTGTATGTAAAGGTCGCACACATCTTACTATTCTATAAGCGGTCTTATCTAAATACTCTTCATAGTTGAAGGCTCCTATATTATTTTCTAAAATGTTAGGGAAGTGGGACAGGGATCATGATTTCCCCTTACATAATACTGCTATACTTTGCAAGCTCTCATAAAAGAAGGGAATCGTTTCCCCCAGTTGAAAGCAATGCATGAGCTGGCTCACCCCAGCCCTCAGTAGGCTGAGGCAGGAAGATAATGACATTGAGACTAATCTGGGCATACAGTGAGACTTTGTCTCTGAAAAAGTACATTGTAAAGGGATAATAGAGTTTACAATATATCTTATTAATGTAATTTACAGATATTTGTCTAAATTTAATTAATCATACAGAAAAGTTAAAGTTCAGTTTTTAAAGAAAGGTATTTTTTTTTTTTTTTACCCATTTGAGAATAGGTTGCTATATGATAACTTATTGCCCCCAGATACTTCACTGTGTATTTCCTAGGCATCAACCTAGGAAATTAGCCATTGCTAATGCTCAGACTCTGTCCAACTTTAACAGTTGTTCCATCAATGCTTTTTTTGATGAAAAGATCCTGGTCAGATTTGCACAGTTTATTTTGGAGTTGGGCCTTAATCTCCACAACTCTGGAAGAACTTGATAGTCTCTGACACTTAGGACCTAAAGTACCCTGAAGATGACAAGCAACAGAGTTGTTTCATAGGATGTCCTCCCTTGCTGTGTGGTGCTTCGCTGTCATTCACCTCTGACAAGCTATTACAGAAGAGGTGCTGGTTTTTGTCCAGTCAGGTGGCAGTTTTAAACTGTCTGATTACAGTCAGTATTCACTTTGTTAGCTGGTAAAAGTAGTGGTCTGCCAGGTGTGTCTTGCAGGCTTTTGCCTTCCTTTATGGGTATTGAGGACTTTGAGGCTATAAAAGTATCCCTTTTCTTGTGGAACTTCCTAGTTTATAAGTGTATTCTGGGAGGAATAACATATAATTGTTTACTTTGTTCCTTGTGTTATACATTTTTCAATACCTTTGAGAGCAGATAACAATGGAACCTCATATCTTATAGGTCTATATAAGCGAGTATATACCGTGTTTGTCTTTCTCCTTCTGGGATATTTCACTCAGAATGATCTTTTCTAGATCCCACCATTTGCCTGCAAATTTCATGATTTCCTCCTTTTTGATTGCTGAGTAGTATTCCATTGTGTAAAAATACCACAATTTCTGTATCCATTCCTCCGTTGATGGACATCTGGGTTGTTTCCAGGTTCTAGCTATTACAAATAAAGCTGCTATAAACATGGTTGAGCAAGTATCCCTTTTGTGTACTTGAGCAAAGTTTGGGTATATACCTAGCAGTGGTATAGCTGGGTCTTGAGGAAGCGTTATTCCTAATTGTCTGAGAAAGCGCCAGATAGATTTCCAAAGTGGTTGTACCAGTTTACATTCTCACCAGCAGTGGAGGAGGGTTCCACAACCTCTCCAGCATGTGTTGCGCTTATATAGACCTATAAGATATGATAAACATAATGAAATCTATACACCTAAAAAAGATAATCAAGAGAGCGGACATGGGGTAAGATGATCAAACCTCGTTTAGAAAGACAGATGGGATGTGCATTGAACGTATGACAGGAGTCTACTGAAGGCATCTGAAAGTCTCTAACTAGCAGTGTTTTCAAAGCAGATACAAAGACTCATGACCAAACCTTCGGAAGAATGCAGGGAATCATATGAAAGTAGGGGGAGTTAGTATGATGTGGAAAGGATAGGAGCTCCACAAGGACCAAATATATCTGGGCACAGGGTCTTTTCTGAGACTGACATTCAACCAAGGACCATATATGGATATAACCTAGAACGTCTGCTCGGATGTAGCCCGTGGTAGCTCAGTAACCAATTGGTTTCCCATAGTAAGGGGAACAAGGACTATTTCTAACAGGAACTCAATGGCTGGCTCTTTGACCTCCCCACCCCCCAAGGGAGGAGCAGTCCTGTTAGGCCACAGAGGAGAGCTTTGCAGCCAGTCCTGAAGATACCTGATAAAACAGGATTGGATGAATGGGGAGGAGGTCCCCCCCATCAGTGGACTTGGAAAGGGGCACGGTGGAGATGAGGGAGGGAGAGTGGGATTGGGAGGGAATGAGGGAGCGGGATACAGCTGGGATACAGAGTTAATAAAATGTAACTGATAAGAAAAAAATAAAATTCAAAAAACAAAAAACAATGGAACCTCTTCTAAGTACAATGGCAGGAGGTAGGTAGTTCTTTCAGGGCCTCTCAGTGTAACCCTGAGACTAGCCTGGGACCTATGGAAACCAGGTTATCTACCTCTGCCTCCCCAGTACTGGGATTAAAGTATGAGTCACCACACCCACCAGTGCTCCATTCTCTCTCATGCTGGCTCCCTTACACTTTAGACAAATTAGTAACAGACCTAAGTCAGTTTCCTCATATGTCAAATGGAAATTGTAGCTTTGTTCCTCAGGTTACTGTGTAAATTGGATAATGCCCACCAACACCTAGCCTCGTGTTAGTGACATAATAATCACAGAGATAATAAGTATTTCAGCTGCAATAGTGTTTGTTTGATTCTTAATTGCTGGTAATAGCTTAGAAGGGAGAAACAAACAAACAAACAAACAACTCCTGGCCAAAAAAATGCAATCTCATTTACTTTTCTTTAGTCTAAGTGTGTGTGTCTCTCTGTGTGTGTGTCCTCTCAGAAGATAATTCCAAAGTTCAAATAATTAAACAGCTTGGTATTTGCTTGCATATCGGAGCTAACTGACAGTTGACAGAGTAATAGAAGAATGGTCATTGGTCCTAAGAAACACCAGTTAGTATTTATTTGTTGTGTGGTTGAGGAGAAAGTAGTTACTACTGAATATTTATTTCATGATAATTTATGTTACAGAGAAACTATCATGTGGGAAGGGAATGACATTATTACATTACATTTTCTTTTTAACTCTTGCTGGCTACTGTCATTGAACCAAATGATGATTGCTGCTGACACTAATACATCAGTAATTCCTGCATTACTATGTCAACAGTGGTATTTTAAATTCACCCAGCATGTAGCCTGTGTAACTCTGTGGAGCTGTCTGACCTGGAAATCTTCTGCTGTGAGAAACAGAACAAGTGTTTTCAACATCTGCTTTTGTGTATAAATGCTTTTTTTAAAAATCCTCTTTTTTTTTTTTGAGTGTTAGTTAAGTACTCTGCCACTAAGAGCAACTCCCAGCCCTACCCATGGTTCTCTGAATGAGGAAGTGTAGTATTTAAGGAAGGCAATTCTGATTTCCTTTAGAGAACAGAATTCAATTTATGTTGTAAAATTTTGCATTTGTATTGAACATTACATGTAACTTCTATAAACACCTGGAGTAATATAATTCTAGGACATGTAGGAATGTGGAATAATATACAGTTCACTATTATTTTAGTGGCAAACTTCCCCACCATAGTTTCATACTGGTTAGAGAGAGGCCCACACTTAATTATGAACAAATTAGAGAATGTGATGTTATTTATTAGTTGAGTCAGTTAGACTTAGCCTGTGCTGCTAGCTAGCTGAGCACAACTCACCGGATGGCAAAAGTGAGATTACAAGGAAGAAGCTTCAGTGGATAGTCTGAAGAGAAGCAGATGGGGAAGTGAGATACTTTTGGAACTCTAGGGAAGAGCTTTAACATTAAAAAAAAAAAAAAAATCTGTTATCCAAGAGGCAAGGAATATTGGGTAAAACATTGGCTGCAAAGAGCCTTTTGTCGGCACAGAAGGTGAACAGGAAGTGGGAAGGTTGGAGCAGTCTGCTCACTAGCGTTCATAGAGCAGCACACATGAGCCCTGCCAAAGGCTCTGTGCTTCTGTAGTGTGGACAGGGGAGAGGGAGCAGGGTAAGTGTGGCGATGTGGAGAAGGTAAGCAGTGTGACCCAGCAAGCCAGGCAGTAATGGGTGAGAGGCAGCATAGGAAAGGAAAGGCAGCAGGAACCTGGATACATTTTCTTCTGAATTTCACACTTCAGAATATATTACTTGAAATTCTTTGGAATACTAGATGTGGTTTATTTTTCTTTGGCTCTTTGTTATGTCTTAAACATGTATCTGGTAAGTGCTAGGAAGGGCTTTCCTTTACACTTCCAGGATTCTTTTGTTTGTTTTTTCTTTTAATAGAATAACCATAGTAGCCTACTCTAGGGAAATTATTGTCTGAATTATACTCATTAGCAAGTTAGCATCAACTTATAGCAAAGGAAGTAAGACAAAGGTCAGTAAAGACTGTCCTCTGCTGTGTTAAACTTTGTGGTCAGGCAGTGACTTACAGCAGTGTACGTATTTATTCAGTTTCTGTGTCCAGGCACTATTCTAAGTGTCAAGGAATCAGACAGGTCATCAACAAGGGAAGATAGACTAATTAAATGGTTGGAATTATTTAACTCCAGCAAGAACATTCTATTACTAGTTGGAGAAATCACCTAAAGTAATGCACTAGTGTTAAGGCCCATTGTTGAACACAACAGCTGTATTGAACATGGAGATTTTGAGCTGGTGCCTACGTAGAGCTTTCATCCCTGTGTTCCAACACCTTCAGCACAGAAAGTTATTCTGCACATTGTCAAGAGTAAATACTAGGCTTTTACAAACCCTTTATCCACAGTGATGTCCTGCCTGCAAGATATGCTAGCGTAATGTTGGCACAAAACTATGGGAGTAGCTGACCAATAATTGGTTTGACTTAAGGCCCACTCCACAAGATGTAACCCATACCTGACACTGTTTGGATGATCAAGAACCAGACACTAGATAGCCCAGGGTCAAAGGAGAAAATGCAGTAATGCTGGTCTAAAAAAACAAGAAAGAAAAAGGAGAAATAAATAAAAGGAACAATAGTAGCAGATTTTGAAAAATTTGTTTCAAATTCTGGCTTTCAAACTAAATAGATTCTGATGTTTTCAATTATTATTTTTAACAGCATCTGCAGAAAAAGAGGCAATTAAAGGTACATACACCAAAGTATTGGATGCGTATGGACTTTTGGGAGTTTTACGATTAAATCTTGGTAAGTCTGTTACTCAGTGTGCTTCATCTACTTTTTCATTTCTGTTTATTAATTCTGAAGATTTGAGAGACTACCTGTGTATTATTTCAGACTCAGTATTTAAGATTCGAGTATTATATACCTTTTGTACATTCATTAGGCTAATCTTTTTAAATACTGTTTTTTATTAACTGAGAATTTCATGTAATGTATTTTGATTAACTCCCTCCCACCTCCTTCCAGATCTACCCCCACATCTGCACCCAACCAGCTTTCTGTCTGTCTGTCTCTCTCCTTTCCTACTTCTTCCCTTCCCCTTTCCTCCCTCAAACTTACGAAGTCCAGTTCCTATTGGTCTAGGGTATGGGATCTACCCTGGAGTGTGGTCAGTATACCAGAGATCACACCATAAAGAAAATGAACTGTGCCTTTCCAGCAGCAACCTGACTCAGTACTTAAGAGCACTTGCTGCTTTTGCAGAAGACCCAGGTTTGTGTCCCAGGACCCACATGGCAGCTCTCTACCATATGTAACTCCAGTGTTACATATGGTGCACATGTAGAGAAAACACTCCTACACTTACAATAAAAATAATTAGGCTGATCTTATATGTTTCTTCACTGGAAAGACATGCAACAGTTTTAAGATCAAAGGACAGTGTCCTGTTGAAATACATTAGCAGAAAATGACAGCATTACCTTTTTTTCTTCTTCTCAGTACATCAAGATGTCTGTATGGGAAACACACTGATTCTCTTAGTATATTGTAGAAAAGGCATCTGTTTTAGATTCAGAAATGTCTGCTGTTTAATGTTCTCCTTTTACCTTAAAATCATTCATTTTTATGTGTATGAGTGTTTGATATACATCGTGTCTGTCTGTAAAAGATGTGCTTGTGCTCTGCTGAGTCAAGAACATGGTGTCAAATCCCCTAGGACTTGAGTTCAGACAGCTAATCGTAAGCCACCATGTGGGTGCTGGGAATTGAACTTGGGTCCTCTGGAAGAGCAGCATTCTTAACCACTGAGTTGTGTCTCCAGCCCCTTGCTTAATATTACCATGGTCTTCAGGATATTCTTTTATGATAAACAGTTTGTCTATAAAGGTAAGCAAGTGTGGTCCAGAGATGACCTGGTCCATGCTTTTACTGGTCTGTGTGGGAAAGCAAGCTTGCATATACACCATGTGATTTTCTTCCTTGATGAAGTCTAACTATAAAATTAAAAAAGAAAAGAAAAGTCAAATAAGGGTAGATTTGGCTATGTGGTATATTTTACTCTGTTCAGGCACATTTCTTGTCGTGTGCTACCAAGAGTTGATGGACTATTTTGAGCATCACTGGCCTATGAAATGGAGATTTGTTATTTGTTATTATACAAAGACTCTATTGGATTTACCCTTGTAATCATGAGATAAATGTTTTAATCCCCTTCTATAAGGGATTATATTACAGGTTGGTCATGCTAATTGTACATAGTTTTTAGTCTGGATAATAAATGATGTGCCATGACTCAGGGCTATTTCTGCCTATGCCAGCCAGAACCTGTGTTACTGACTCTTAATTTCATAAGATTTTTGTTGCAACTGCCCAAAAAATTAAAAAATCCTGATGTTCATGGGTTAAGACCAAAGAGTGAACCCCAGAATCATCCCTTTGCCACAAAAAAGAAAGAAAACAAAACCACAGTTTGTAAAAGTTTTCATGAACCAGATTGCTTTATAACATTGTTACCAAGGCCTTGTTTCCATCCTCTGTCATCTTCAAATTTATATGCCATTTTTAAACTTAACCATTTACAAAGAACTTGGACTCTGATTATCTTATCTGAGTTTCCTGTCCATTGAGAAGGTCATGAAGACAGCATTTTTTGATAAATTTTGTAGCCTCAGATTAAATGTAGAAATAACTTTGTAAATGTGACATTATCTTACTAATGTTTTAGAGCTTGACATATTGAATGTATTTAAACAAAAAAATTTCCCTTGAAAAAATTCCTCTAGTTGTAAATTCAGACATATTTATGATAAATTTAGAATAATCAGAATGGTCAGTCATGTTGCTATATACCTATAATCCCTGCATTTGGTAGGCTGAGGACAGTGGATTGGGTGTCCAGGCCAGTTTATGCAAGCATAGTAACACTGTCTCAAAAAATTATAATGTAAGATTATAAAGATAGAAATACAGGAAGAAATCAGAAGAAACTAGGTAACTAGGATAGCTTAAAAATGTTGGTGTTCTCTCCAATAAAATCTTTGGGTTTTGCAGGTGATACCATGTTGCATTATCTGGTCCTAGTCACTGGATGTATGTCTGTTGGGAAAATTCAGGAATCTGAAGTTTTCCGAGTTACTTCCACTGAGTTTATATCACTTCGAGTTGATGCTTCAGATGAGGATCGCATTTCTGAAGTACGAAAGGTTTTGAACTCAGGAAACTTTTATTTTGCGTGGTCCGCATCTGGAGTCAGCTTAGATCTGAGTCTGAATGCACATCGCAGCATGCAAGAGCTCACAACTGATAATAGGTTTTTCTGGTGAGTCCATATATCTTTCTTCCTTTGTAATTATGTACTATGTAATAGCTCGCAGATGTGGGGCATAATGTGCGCAACGGTGGCTCTTTCTGGGAAGAAAGGGTGGACATGCAGATTGCGTATGCCCTTTTTTCCTGCCCACGCTCACGGCAAAGCATGGCAGGCACCTTGACGGGTTGGCATATGGTATGAAGCCAATTGGTCGCTCTTTCTGATCTAGACTGTGCTTCAATTTGAGAATTACTTGTTTGTGCTGTTTATAATGTAGTTCTCACTCCTTACTAGTCTTCGTTCTGCCATCTCGTCTCTGACGTTATCGTCATTCTTAGCAGCATTCTGTATTTTCAATGTGAAGACTATATATAGCTGATCCTCTTTTTTGGTACTGGAAATGGAACATACTCTGTGTATGGTAGGCAGGTGAGTGCTCTGCCAGCCTAAGTAGATGTCTTGGTATGAGAGCAGCAGGCTCTGAAGAAATAGTGCTTTGGGGCAGCATGGCACTGCAGTAACTAAAACTTGGTTGGGTTCCCAGGGTGCAGTACGTGGTGCTGCTGATGTGCTGAGGTACAGGCAAGCACGAGTGGTGAGCACATACATCAGACTAGAGTTGTGTGGCCTTGTTGGAGCAGGCTGGATTTCAGTGCTTTGGTTACAGTGTTTACAGCCAGCATCCATAGTGACTTCTCTTTAATGCAGTAGAAATCATCTTTCACCATGTTAATATACATTGTAAGGCTAAAGCCCCAAAGACACTCCCCTTGATCTCCCTTGCTCTTCAGATTCAAGGCATTTGCCTTCTGAATCTATCCTCTCTCATTTCATCCTTACTTATGACTCTTGAGTTGCACATTCAGGCTTGACACATTTGCCCTGACTATCAGAGGTCTCCAAGTTAAGGACAGCTGTAGGAGAGATGACAAATCTCAGTTTCACCTTGAAGCTTATGTGGAAGAGTCTTGGCTCAGAGGAGAGAGACAGGGGAGCAGAGAGGGTGGAATAAGCAGGTTGTAGAGCATGGCCTGTCAGGGACTTGGGCTTGGCAAGTAGAGGTGAGGAAGACAAGTGGGAGTGAAGCCCTCTCACCTCAATGAAGTAGTGATGATGAAATGTGCTTTGCTCAAGCATCCAGAGGTAGGCTTTCTAGAATGAAGCCTTTGTCAACGCTGTGTTTTTCTTCTAGTGGGAAACATTGAAGTTCTTCAGCTAAATAGTTACAGTCTAGCTGTGCTTCGGCAGCTGTTCATGCCTTTCTCTCCTCACTTTCTCCTAGCCCCCATCCCAGATGGACAAAGAAAACCTTTCCCATCACGTTAGAAATCAAAGTTGGTGCAATTAAACTTGCAAAGTTTAATGAGTAGAAATAATTCTTTTTCTTTTTTTTAATTAAAGGTGGAGTCAGGGCATGTTTAGATCACAGTCTGATGGGTTTGTCCAGTGGTCAATAGGTTGAACTTGTATTTTGCTGAAATACTTGGGTTTGATTTTGCCTAGAAAATGGAAGTTTTTAGAATTCACATCCTTGTAGCTTTGCCTTTTTTTTTTGTTTGTTTTTAAAGATACAGTAAGTTTTGTAACCAGACTGCAGATACCTTTTAACAAAAACTGTATAGTTTTATTTTATTGGAGATTTTAAGCGACTATTACTCAAGACTTGGCATAAACATAAATAGAATAAAACAGCAGTGCATCGACAGTAAAGAAAAATGTAAGATGACAGCAGACCCAAGAAAAACTCTGCCTGCATACAGTGCCTCACATCCTAGCTCTATCTGAATGAGACAAATGCATCACCTGTCTGCATCCATGACACAGCCCTTGGCTATGATCTTTGGACATATTGGGTCATATTGGTTTGCCTCTCAGATCAATGTAAATAATAGTGAAGAATGAGAGCATGTGTCATAGCATTAGTTAAATAAGTAATGGCTATTAGAGTTTATGTTATCCTGGTAGTGGTCTCATCATTCAGTGCCTTTCCGTGTGCTTTGTAAACAGATTGGAAGGGTTAGGGTGGTAGCTGGTCTACTAGCACTGTGATGGCCTGCACCTAGTGGATCTCCATGGCAGTCTGTTACCTGAAGGGCAGGGAATTGAGGACTGGTTCTCTTAGCAGCTTTGCTCCTTGTTACTGTTGCTAATGACCCTGGGTGTTCAAGAAGACAGTACAACATTTCTGTTATCTTTTTTTTTTTTTTTTTAAAGATACCAGGGTAGTGTGTTAAAGTCATTCAGAACATTCAATCTCCAAAACTCAGTATAAGTAACTCTTGAATTGATAGAGCTGTCTGCTGAATGGCATCTTTTTAGTAGGATTCCTAGAAGAATCTTCAGTTTTCCACATGTGTTCTGTGGAGAACTCAGGTTCCAATAGAGACCAACTGCTGAAGAGTAATCAGCAGGGTGAGGAGACTGAGTTGGTAGGGCTAAGGCCCAGTTCATGTTTTAGTCCTTGTGACTCTAGATACTTTCATCTTTGGTTTCTTATCATTGGGCTGTGTCTTTGATTGACTAAAACATTCTCCCAGGCTGGATCTGATACCTACAGTACTACAGTGGGCCTGTGGGTGTGCTCAGTGATAAGAGAGCACTTACCACAGCCTGAGGCAGGCCCTGGATTCCATGATCAAAACTGAAAAACAAAACAAAAACAACAAAATACTATGCCTTACATTGTGTGGTATGACAGCTACTAGCTAAGCTGGCTCTTCAAATTTAATTACAATATAGCCTTATAAAAGTCTTATATATAGGTCTCTTTAAAGTAGGATGTGTTTGTATAATCCCTTTTGGAACACGTTAGGTTAGAAATGTTTTAGTAATACTAAAACTCTATGTTTTTAGTACACTGGATCACTTGATTAAGCATCTGCTGTTCATTCTATAGCCTTGTCTTTAACATAGCAAATGTAAATGAATTCCTTACTTGGGGAGTCTTTTAATAGTACTTCATTTATTGATTTTATGTTGTTGTGTACGTAGTAACTAATCCAGTTCCTTCTCTCCATAGGAATCAGTCTTTGCATTTGCATCTCAAGCACTATGGCGTGAACTGTGATGATTGGCTGTTGCGCCTCATGTGCGGAGGAGTAGAGATTAGGACAATTTATGCTGCCCATAAACAGGCAAAGGCTTGCCTCATTTCAAGACTAAGCTGTGAACGAGCCGGGACAAGGTTTAATGTCCGGGGAACAAATGATGATGGTCATGTTGCCAATTTTGTAGAAACAGAGCAGGTAACATACTGTTTTGTATTTCTTAATTGTGTGGTTTAAGAGAGACACAGGAAATACCAGGGTAACAGACTTGTGAGGGAGACAGGAAGTACTAGGTAATAGTTTTACTTGTAGTTTGCAAATACATTCTGGCATGTATAGTGTGATGTTCTTGGCCACTTAATGACCTTGATAAAGGCTTCCCTAGAACAAACATATGCAGGTATATAATACCAATTAAGTAATGTTACATAATCAGTGCTATACATTTGACAATGAATTTAAGATCGTCAGTTATAGAGCAAAATGACATCATAAAAATAGTTTATGTGAAAATAAGCCCGACTCTTAATGATAGCTAAGTTACGACATTTGGCTGTGGAACTATGTAACTGTAAAATTTCAGATTATAATACAGCCCAACTCAAATCTTTAAATTAGGTTTTGGAAAATATAAAAAGCTAAGGAACAGACAAAAAATATGAAGGTATATGCATATAATACTGAGATTAAAAAGAGTTTTTCTTTTGGTTTTTCATGACAGAGTTTCTCTGAGTAGGCTTGTCTATTTTGGACTCACTCTGTAGACCAGGCCGGCCTTGAACTAACAGAAATCTTCCCGCCTCTGCCTCCCAGAGTGCTGGAATGTACAGATGTGTGCCACCATGCCTAACTAAGAGTTTCTTTTTTAAAGTTGTGATTCTTATCTTTTATTGTTTTCTTGTTTAATATTATCACTAACTGAAAAGACTTAGTATTCTGTTTTTGATTGCTTTGATCAGGGCAGTTTGTGTATAAGTGGGCATCAATTATAACTACTATGCAGCAGATTTTAGTTGCTGCTTTTCTAATACAGAATTAACAGGTTTTTTTTTCTTTTTTTGTAGGTTATATACTTAGATGACTGTGTTTCTTCCTTCATACAAATCCGAGGATCTGTTCCATTGTTCTGGGAGCAGCCAGGGTTGCAAGTATGTACCCAACATCCACTTGGTTTTTGGTTGTTGTTGTTGTTTTTCCTTTTGAAAACTTCCATACTGTCCAAACTTTCAGCATAGTTGTTGAGTTTTACAGATCACTTTATTGTGTGAAATGCTAGTTCGACTCACAAGTGAGGGCATGAGAGCATATTATCTCGCATATTTTCCCTGTCAGTTCTGTGTTAGCTGCAGTTATATAACTTCACTGGTTTACTGTGGTTAGACCAATTTTATAAAATTGCTTTTTTTTTTTTTATAAAAAAAGCAAAACTTTTTTTTTTTTTCAGCTCCTAATTTTAGAGATTAGAAGTCAAAATTGACCAGGCCCTTTTGTTTGGCAACTAATGAAGTAGTGTGCCGCTTGATGGTGTTACCATGGGGTATAAGAGCATGTCTTCAAACAGGAAGCCAAAGAAAGAATCAGATACTCGGCTCAGGCTTCTGTAGCCCCTGTCCCATAAGAGCGCACCACAGGAAGGCAGCATTCCCTCCCCAGAGCATCTCTACCAGGAATCATCTTTCCTATAAGGCCCTACTTCTTAACAGTTTTACACTATCACCAACACTGCCACCCTGGACACCAAACTTCCAAAGCATGAAGGCTTAGGATAGACCATACCATTTAACATAGCTATAGCAACTCAGGAGCTTGTTTAATATTCTAAATTTCAAGGATTTTTTACAAGTATTTTCATTATTATCTTCTCATTATTTCAGTGTAGAATGACTTAATCTCTTAAAGCGGGAGAATTTGGTAATTTAAAACAAAAAGCCCTAAGCTAGGCATGCTGGCACACAGCTTTAATCCCAGTACTCAGGGAGGCAGAGGCCAGCAGATCTCTGTGAGTTTGAGGCCAGCCTGGTCTACAAAGCTAGTCCAGGACAGCCAATTACACATTTACCAAATCTACCATTGCTGGATAACAGTGATTAAATTCTTCTTTCTGTCTCAGTGTCCTCATCCATAAAATGAGAATGGCAATAATACTGTCTTCTTCATGGGGCTGATATGAGGAATGAATGAAAACCATGTAAAACAGGGTCTGACATGCAGCAGCACATCAGGGTTAGCCATTGCTGTTTTCAGTGACACGCCTGTAACTGGACCTTTGCTTCAGTCTGTCATGTCCTGTCATCATCAGGATAGTCCTTATAACTCTTCACTTCACTGTTAAAAATGTAATTACCTCATCTTTACAAAATGTTTTAAAAATGTAAGGTTCTCATATTAAGTCACTTCCAGAAGTATAATCTTACATTAATTGTATTGAGCAGTGCCTAGGCCTGTTAAATACCATGTTCATTATAGGCCTCTGGTATGTCTCAGTTAGTATTGAGAAACAATACAGAAAAAGAAGGTTTGCTTACTCTTTAGTTTGTTGTCAGGTCTTTATTACATTCTGAGTGGGGTCATGGTGGAGAGAAACTGGAGGCCTCTGAAGTTTATTGTTACAGTTCACTTAAGGTAGACAACACAGTAAATATTTCTTCTGCTTTGCTGAAATTTTTAGTTCTTGTCAAGACTGGTCTGACTGGTGTGGGCATTTGTGTGTGAGGGGATGATTTTTGTTGTTGTTGCTGTTGATTTTGAGGCAGGGTCTCCCTGTGTAGTTCTAGCTATTCTGGACCCCTGTATGTAGTCCAAGCTGGCCTTGAACTCAAAGATACCCACCGACCTCTGCCTCCTGTGTGCTGGTTTTAAACATATATGCCACTACATTCAGCCAGGTGTAGACTTTTTGTCACAGGCATAGGGCAGCTTCCAGACTCTCTTAGAAAAGAATGGCAACCCAGTTCACATTTCTTAAGCATTTGTAATCTTTGGTGAATGGTTATAGTATTTGCTTTAAAAACAGTCCTAAAGCCCCAGCATGATGCAAGGTAAATGCTTTTGTTTGGGGACAGACTAACCTAAGACATCCAGGAGTTGATTTACAGGCCCTGCTTCTCTCTTACTTTTCATGAAGTTCAAAATCACAGTGTTTGATTGTTTAGTAAAGTTGGATCCTGAATTGTAGGAGCCTCCTTGGATTGGACTCTCCTTCCTCCTCCGTGGCCTCACTTCACAGGGAACCTTGCTGGCTGCTGTTCTCTGGTTATGGGCCGAAAGCTGTGGCATTGTAAACCATGCATTTCTTCATAGAGACAGTAAATTTTGAGACCCTGAGATAGTTGAAGAATTCTCCTAAATTGTTATCTAGCTGGTCTCTTGTTGAGTGGTTGGAGGGATGCTTGAGTTTGTTTTTTACAGTTATTTCGTTTAGTAGTCTCTAAAATTAACTTTCCTTTGAATAAGAATAGATTGGTCTTTGCTATTGATTTGCAAAGGTTCTTGCAATATAGGCCTGGCTGTTAGGGTACTACTCACTATGTAGCCCCGGCTGGCCTTGACCGCATGACAGTTATCCTGCCTTGGCTTCCTAAGAATGGATCCTTTTTGTGATGTTTCCTCCACTGTTCTAAAAGAGTGGTAATAAAGGAATGAAACATATGATTTTTTTAAGAAAGTGTAAAAATAGATAATTGATTTTCAGAAATGAAAACACCATGCCAAGGATTAACTGTTCTGTGTAACCAAACTAGGACTCTTTAGGGGTGTTGTAAATGGTTCACAGGTGTTTCGTGTATTCTCAGGACTAGAATCTATTTTAGGAACCAAGTTTGTCTGTTCATTTGTTTATGTATATGTTTGCTCCCTGGAACTTGAGATCCTCTTGCTTCTACATCCTGAGCCCTGAGTTTACAGTGCTGATAGTGTTAATTGAACTGTGGGATTGAACAGCACAGCAGAGCTTATTTTGTTTGTCTGACTTCATAATGATATGGCAGCTCTCCTCCTCACCCCTTTTAATAAGTCATTTTGTTCATATAGTAGCAGGAGAGACTTCTGGAAAACGTTGATCCAGAGGCATCAGAGAAATGTTTACAAGTAATGCTCTGGCATCTGCTAGGTCTTTCTCAGCCCTGCTCTGTGAGAGAAAAGAAATAGAAGCCATGTTAGGCAAATACTCTGCATCTTGTTTTCTTCCCTAGCACAGCATTTTTAATTCTGCAAAATGTGCTGTTATTTTGGTTGTGTGGCAATGAGGTTGGCCTGGAAAATCTGTGTTTGTAGGAAGGAAGGCAGGACTTCCTTCTTTATATTTGGGGTGGAGTGGCATTTGTGAGCTAACAGATGGGGTGCTGGTTGAACTCAGGTTCTGTAGAAGAACAGCGTGTGCTCTTAGCCACTGAGCCATCTTTCTAGCTTGAGGAATGAAAGATTTGGTTTGGTTTGGTTTTTACTGGGTGGTGGTTGGGTGGGGCCAATGACTAGAGTCTTTTCCACAAAAGAGAATGAGACACATGGACATTGTAGTACTAGGCTGCTTGGAAAAGGAGAAATTTTGGTCAGAAAATGTAAATATCTCATCTGAACCTTTTTTAAAATTAATTACATTCCTATGAACTTAAACAGAATATTTATTTAAGTTTGAAATAAGGTAAACAGTATGTGTGAAAGCACTCAATAATCTCTTCCAAACATTACTATTAATGAGTATTTTCTAGTGGGTGTTGCTTGTTTTTTGTTGTTGTTGTTTTGTTTTGTTTTGTTTTGTTTTTTTGTCACTTACAGTGTGCATGACAGCACAGTCATGTCATTGATCCCTTAAATATTACTTAACTATTCACTGGGAGTATACTGACATTAAAGAAGTTCTTTGTAAAAAAAAAAATCATCCTTTCTCAATATAGTTTTCTAGTTTATTTCATATGTGATTAATGTATCTACCAAACTATAAATAAAACTGAACTGTAAGGGCTTAAAAGTATATACAAATTTTAGAGTTTGAAAAAAGCACTCCCTTTGATTTGAAAATAATTTGCACAATTTGTATTGCTAATCAAATGCTTATCACAAAATTCTTGCTGTCTTCCATCTTCTGCCAACAATAACCTTCTGCTTGCTGTGATAAAGATGCCTCTTATTTAAACAGTCAGTGCTGAGACTGGAGAGATTGCAACAAGGTTAAGAGTACTTGCTGTTTTGAGGAAGGACCCAGTTTGGGTTCCCAGCATCCACACGGTAGTTCTGCCTGAACTCTAGTTTCTGGCATGTGATGCCCTCCTCTGACCCCATGCACATGGTACAAATACATACATGTTTTCATTCACACATACACGCCATCACTCATACATACATGCAGCCACTCTAACATACACATAAAAAATGCTTTTATAAAATAGTCAAAATAGGAAAACTAAAACAAAAAATAAAAAAAAAAAAACCCAAGTTTTCTTTGATTTGGATTGGGTTTTTTCTCTTCAGCAGGAATTGCTTTCCATAAGCAGACTTAGCCTCTGTTGCCTGGATGGCCCAGGCAGAACCTGAGCTCAGGATTCTTCTGTGCTAGTTAGACTCTGTAGCAGCTTGATTTTCAGGCACAAACTGCCATGCTTGGCCAAAAGCTAAGATTTATTTTAAAACAGCAGAGAAAGTGATTATTTAAACATCATTAAATTTTGTTAAACCATTTAAGTTTGGGCTAGAGAAATGACTCAGCAGTTAAAAGCATATACACTGCTCTTCCAGGGAACCTGAGTTCAGCCCTCAGCACCCATGACCCATGGCTTACAACCACCTACAACCCCAGCTCCAGGAGATCAGATCTCTGCCTCTGTGAACACCCATACTCCTGTAAACATAGCCACACAGATACATACAATAGTTAAAAATCAAAGCCCGTCAGTTTATCAGAACAGTAAAAATGCTTTTACTTTCATTTAAATGGTATCCAGCAAAATTAAAAGTTAAAAATAATAAAATCAGATTATAATCTGTATTAGTCTTAGAAAAAAATTCCACTGAGATTCTATGTTAGGAAAAGAACTAATACTATTCTAAATTTTCTAGATCTTAATTTTGAACTATTAAATGGTTTGATGAGTTGAAACTTTAAAAGTAGCAGTACGTTGGATCAGCATGATGGCTCAGCAAGTAAAGATGCTTGCTTCATAACCCAAAGGCCTGAGTCCAATCCCTAAAACCCACATGAAGATAGAAACAGAAAACTAACTTCACAGAGTTGTCCTCTGACCTTCATGGACTGTGGCATGTGCCCTGCCATGCCACACACCCCCCCCCATCATATAAGCATACACATGATAATGACAAAAGTTATTTTAGGAAGCTAAAAGTCTCTTACACATTCTACTAATGTGTGAATCTTTAATGACCAGAAATCTTTACTCCTTCAGAAAACATTTCATATCTGCTGAAACACACCACCTATCTAACGATTAAATAATCACTCAAGATTTATTAAATAAAGCATCTTTGTTACTTTTTGTTGTTTTGTTTTATTGTTATTATTATCATTGTTTTGTCTGTTTGTTTTATGACGGGGTCTCAACGTAACCCTGGGCTGTGCTTCTCAAGTGCCAGGATCAAAAACATGGTTTTGGGATCTTTTTTGTTTTTAAAACAGGGTCTCGCTATGTAGCCCTAACTCGGATCTTGCAATGTAGACCACTTTAGTTATGAATTTTATGGCATTCTTCCTATCTCTGGGTTCTAAGTCCTGAAATTAAAGGTGTGCCACCATGCCCAATTTCATAGTATTTTTATGTCATGGAAATAAAAGGGAATTTTGCATGTTGGCTATTTTGCTTAATTTTTCTATCTTTGTTAGGTCTTATAAAACTTAGAAAAACTTTCTCTGCTAATATGCTAGATTTAGATGGTTCATACAACAATACTAAGCTGAGCTCTGATACTACTTCTTAAATCCAAGTTTCTACAAGTTGTGTTTTTGTTTCTGTCAGTATAAAAATGAGTGCTAGCATTACAAGTGTGTGCCAGTGTTCTTTTCAATACGAGACTGCTTGTTATAGGGGATCCTAGATCTTTAAACAAATTATCAGGAGTGAAGACCAGGCCTTTCACTTACTGTGTTCATGAAATGAACCACTTGGATTACAAGTGGTGACATTTCTTTTATCGTGATAGTGGTTTGGGTAATGATTAACTCTTTTCTTGCTTCAGGTGGGATCCCATCGTGTTCGTATGTCGAGGGGATTTGAAGCCAATGCACCTGCTTTTGACAGGTAGAACTGATTATTTTTGTGTAGTGCTGTAGATGAGGCTAATGTTGTATTTACTTTGTGTGGCATTGTTCTATATAGCAGAACTTTTTATTATCTTTTTCTGTTGTTTTTTTTTTTTTTAATTCACTTTACATCCTGGTTGTAGCCCCATTCCTCCTCTCCTCCTATTCCTCCTATTCTCCCATCCCATCTTCCCTATTCCTCAGAGAAGGGGTGCTCCCTTTCCAATCTACCCTAGCTCATCAAGTCACTTCTGGACAAAGTGTGTCTTCTTCCCCTGTGGCAGTACCCCACTAGGGAGAAGTGATTAAAATGCTAGCAAATTAGTCCAGGTCAGATGCATCAGATGTATTTATATTTTCCTTACTAAAGGACCCACATGAAGCCTAAGCTGCCCATTGACAGGTCCAATTCATGCATGGTCTTTAGTTGATGTATCAGTCTCTGCAAGATTGTTTGGGCCCTTGTCTTTATTTTTAATTGCCTTTTTTCAGCAGTACCCTTTATCCTCATGAATACAGGTGTGCATTAACCATACCACCTTGCACTAAGGTTTTTCTTGAGCACATATAAATATGTTAAAGTTTAATAGACACAGTGAGAGATTAACAACTAATTGTATTATATACATTATGAAATTCTCAATAAATAAAAATTTTACAAATAGAAGAATTATAATAGTGCACTCTACTAAAATGATTGCGTGACATAGCATCTCTCTAGAAAAGAGTCAGGGTAGGTGTTAGCATTTTTGGACGCTGATTGACATCAAGTAACAGAAACTGTGGCAGCAAAGCCACAGATAAAAGGAGCCTTCAAGGGCTGGAGCTAGTCAGGAGCCCCTTCTGAAGATTCCTGAATCATGTGGTCATCAGAAGGACCCAATGGGCCTGGTCGTGCTTTGTTTGTTGCCAGCCTTGCAATGGAAAGTAAGCTGGAGGCTGGATGGCTCCAGGTGAGGTGAGAGGCTCAGCATCCATAAGTCAGAGGGGAAATTGTGCCTTCTGAATTTTACAAATTCAGTTTGAGAACATGTAGGATGGATTCGCATCCAATTTAGCAAATTTTATGAGTTTCTTGTTTACTGGGCAGAAAGGCTATAAATTGAATATACTGTCTCCTGTCTTTTGTTAATAGGCATTTCCGAACACTTAAGGATTTGTATGGCAAACAAATAGTAGTAAATTTGCTTGGCTCTAAGGAAGGTGAACACATGCTGAGTAAGGCTTTCCAGGTGAGTGTGGCTCCTTTACCTTCTCTTCTGACCTTTGATCACCTAGAATGGACACAAAAACAAAGTAATCAGACTCCCCTCAGTTCAAGAAAAGCAGACAGTAGGTACTGGTGATGCCTTTAACTCTCTGACGCTATTAGGAAATAGTATAAGCAAAATAATTAATCAGTGATGGATCAAGGTAAATTATGTTATGTAAGCTATGTAGAATAGTCAGAAAATGTTTTCTAAGGTTTAAATCAAGAAGTCTAGTTAGGTGGAAAAATAACCTAATTAGATATTTTTTTAAGATTGTAAGAAAATTATTGTTAATTAAACATTATGCTTTTGAGAGTGACATTTTAATGGTAAACTTAAAATATGTATTTGTATTGGAAGACGTCATAAAAGATGAGTCTTTTAATCTCTGAGTAGTCTTTCTGTTAAAAGTTAAGGGGCTTTATTTTGGCTTCTATAGTAGGTTAAAGTGCTTACTAAATTTGTACCTAATAAAACACTGGTGATTGGAAACTCTCATTTTCTTTTTTTTTTTTTTTTTTTCACTTTCAGTTTTTCAATACAGGGTTTCTCTGTGTAGCCTTGGCTATCCTGGACTTGCTTTGTAGACCAGGCTAGCCCCAAACACACAGAGATCTGCCTGCCTCTGCCTTTCCAAGTGCTGGGACTACAGGCATGCTCCACTGCATCCTGCTGAACTGTTTCCTTTTCTAAACCAAAATAAAGCATTAATCAGGTTCCCTGAATTAATTATGCATTCATTCTCTCAGGGATAATGTATGGGGTTTTAGACAATAAATACCATTAGATATCAAAAAATGTCCCTTTTGTTGCCAGTGTCAGTGAAGGCTTTTGGGGGATCAGTAACCTTTCAAAGCACTAGCTAAGCTTCAGCTTGGAAGGGAGGGTGAAGTGTGTGCTGTGGTGCTGTAGCAGTGGCCACTTAGCTAACATCTGCGTGAGTATTTGCTGTTTTTCTTTCAGAGTCATCTGAAAGCCTCTGAACATGCCTCTGATATCCACATGGTGTCCTTCGACTATCATCAAATGGTTAAAGGAGGAAAGGCAGAGAAATTACACAGTGTTCTGAAACCACAAGTCCAGAAGTTTCTAGATTATGGATTTTTTTATTTCGATGGCAGTGAAGTTCAAAGGTTTGATGCTCTTCTCTTTAAATTGGAACTTTGCTACAAGTTAAAATCATTCTTAAGATTGAATTTTAGGTTTTCTTTTTTATGTTGAAGTTTATAATTCTGAAGTATTTTTAATACTTCATGTTAAATTTGTCTTTTTTCTCTAGATTTCAACAAATAACAATAAAACGCTCCATAATGTCGAGCATATTGCGGGGCAGCAGTGCACTTGTGTCAGTAGCAATCTAGGGTAGGACCTTTGCACTTGAGGAAACTGAGGCTGGGCTTCATCTGCTCCAGGCCACCAGGAAGCATTGAGCTGCTGTTCACCTGGCTTCAACTTCAGTTCTTGACCCTAGCAAAGACCATTACATGCAAATAAAAGGAAACCCATGCTTATTGTCTGGATTAGTGTAACTTAAATCCTTAGTTTTTATATGCAGAATAAGAAAATAAGGTGAAAGTTTTAGATTGAAGTCAACTTATGAACAAAGTTCAAAGTTACTGGCATTTTGTTTTGTTTTGTTTCAGTTTGTCTTTTTTATGTCAGCAGCTTTATAGGGCATTCAGAAAAACAGAATTTGTTTGTTTTAAATAGCCATTTCCAAAATACTTATTATTTTTGTGGAAAGAACTATAGGATTATAAACCTGAATGTATATTTAGCTATGTTAACTACAGGCTTAGTTAAAAGTATGTGATAGATATGTGATGAAAAAAGCATGACAAAAATATTAACATGTAGAATCTAGGTATATGTATAGATGTTAACAGTTTAATATTTTCATTATTATTTTGTGCCTGAGAATGGTGATGATATAAAGGTGGAGCTAGAAGGGCATTCAGTTTTAATCATGTCTGTGGCTGTCAGTTTATTTATGCTTTATTCAAGCTGGAAACTAGCCATAAAACTTTATTGAAATTGTTACAGGTGCCAGACTGGTACAGTTCGGACAAACTGCTTGGATTGTCTGGATAGAACAAATAGTGTGCAAGCATTCCTTGGTTTAGAGGTAAAAAAAAAGTTTCTGCCTGTGCCGTATGCATCCCGAGTGGACCTTATTAAAGACTTTTGTTTCTACTTTTTGCCCCCCCCCCCAAGCCCTTTGTGATTTAACTGTTCCCTTCAATGCTCTGACAAACATCGACTTTTCCTTCTATTGTTCCTTAATATGCCTTATAGACACCTGCATGTATGTCGGAGTGATCAGTGAGACAGTATGTATGGAACTTTATGTTGATGTCTTCAAGATTTTATTTTAGGATGTGGAGAATCTGTTTTTATATTTTACATTTTTCTGTAGAGTTATATTTTTGATAGTTTGCAACCCAATCCAAGTGGCCATTATTTACACTCATTTGACTGTTTATTCGTAAGTTCAGTCTAGTACAGACAGTCTCAGGTATTCAGAAAGCTGGAGCAGCACTGAGTTTTACCAACTCTTCCCAGTCCAGTAAGTCAGTGTCATAAGGTGGTTTGGATTCTCTTTGCATTAGGAGGGACTTAGTTTTCAAGAACTGTGAAGGCAGGAATAGACAGTAACTGATTCTTTTTTCTAGTTAATGATCTTAAACTTGGCCAACTTGCATTGGTTAATTAATTATCAAAGCTCAGCTTCTGTCTCAAAATGAAAGTCTAGTTGTATAAAATTCTCTGTGGCACAGATCTTTTTTATGTAAGTAAATTTTACTGTTTTGATTTAAAAAACCTATCACTGACGTCATTTATCGTATTTTGTGTTAAAATATGATACATAAGACATGAGAGGAGGCAAGTTGTAATTAGATGAATTCACATGGATGAGATTTGATTGAGGCCCTGGCTTTCAGTTTCTAGCTCTGCTCATGCTTAGTGAAGTTCTTAGACATAACTTAGCAAGTGTTCATATTGCTTTTATTGCCACCCAGCATCGAGGGTTTATCACCAAAGGCCCTTGAAGTTGTTGTGCACTTGATTCTCACAGTTCTTTTATTCGTGCCACCAGTGTAGATTCTATACATGAAAAGCTGCCATGATGTTTTCAGGGCTTCTCTGTGATGCTTAGGAATAGCTTGCCTCTTCTCTTGATCACCTGACATTAATTACCCAAGCTTCCAGAACAAAGTTCAAAATGAAAACTTACTTATATTTAGGTAAACTCAGTACATCTTTTTCTCTGCTCTCCTGAAGAGATTAGCAGTGGATTAGCTAGATTCTTTAGTGAGCAAGATAAACTATAATCTGACTGTAGGGGTGGCTATGAGATTAATTGAAGGTAACATTACTAATTTTATTTCCAAATTCACATTCTCTTTTGAGTCTCCTAAAATGTCATTTTACCTTAAAAACTGTAACTTTCAACATTGAAATGGTCATAAACATAGCCTGGTACAGTGTTAATACTTTCAGAGTCCTATATTTATAAATTTTAACTTTAAATTCTAGTAGTTGTAAAATGTCACATTATGATGAATATATTACTCTATCTACCTTAAAAATACTTGTTTGCTCTTTCAGATGCTAGCTAAACAGCTGGATGCCCTGGGTTTGGCTGAAAAGCCCCAGTTGGTGACACGCTTTCAAGAAGTTTTCCGGTCCATGTGGTCTGTGAATGGCGATTCAATCAGTAAAATATATGCAGGCACCGGAGCCCTTGAAGGGAAGGCCAAGGTAGAGCTGAATCTGTCAGATTAATTTTCATCTTTCTTCTCTCTGTGGAAAGATTTGAAATTACTTTTTAAGTAATAGGTTTTTAAGTTAACAGATGTCTTTTAGGATTATTTCTTTATGCTTTCATGACCTGTCTGATACATCCTTCCACAGTAGTAGATCCTGATGATTAAATGCAAAATAGACAATTATCTAGGCTTAAGGGGTAAGTATACTTTTAGAAGTAATCCACTGTGTATGTACTTACATTATTTTATATGGCTTAATATACTATATATCCTTTCAATCTCCCTAGTAAAGGGAACAGGGACTGTCTCTGACATGGACTCAGTGGCTGCTCTTTGATCACCTCCCCCTCATGAGGGAGCAGCCTTTCCAGGCCACAGAGGAATACAATGCAGCCAATCCTGATGAGACCTGATAGGCTAGGGTTAGAAGGAAAGGGAGGAGGACCTCCCCTATCAGTGGACTGGGGGAGGGGCATGGGAGGACATGAGGGAGGGGGCTACAGCAGGGATACAAAGTAAATAAACTGTAATTTATAAAAAAATTAATGAATTAAATAAAGAAAATTATTTATATTGATTTTAAATAAGATTTAAAAAAAAAAAAACATAGTCTTCATAAAGTACCCTGTCTCATTTGTGTTTATATTCTCTGTATAGGGCCCCACTTAGGAGTTATGTCACAAATATTAGCAGGACATACGGTCCATCACCAGTTTATGCAAGTGATACAATGAACCCAGGATTACTTGGGCTTAATTTTGAACTTTTTATTTTCTACTTGTTTTGCTTTTAAAAAGAAGCTATCACTGTGCAGTAAAGGGTGGGACATGTGTTCAGTTACAACTACTGACTCTCACCAGGGTGTGGAGCTGCTTCTATTATCTTTCTGTTACTTTTCTCTTTGGTACTTGGCTCAAGTTGTGAGATTTGGGGCTATATCTGGAACATGTTTTATGATTCTGTGTACTTAAATATTGTTTAACTGTTTAAGGGACCCTGGCTTTAATTTAATTTTATGCAAATTGCTACAATTCCTCAAATTATTTCTGGGTGAAAGTGAGAACATTTAGCTAGACCATGGTGGTTCACATCTATAATCTCAGCATTAGAGACATTGAGACAGGAGGATTGCCAAAAGTTCAGAACCAACCTAGGCTATATACAAAGGACCAGACCTGACAAGACCCACTTAAAAAAAAAAAAATCAAAAACAAAACAGTCAACAAAAAGAGAAATCTCTAGCCATTTTAGTGATCTCAATGATCTCATGAGCTGTAACACAGCAGCTGAGGTTCTGCAAGGATTGCTCATCGTCTCAGGTCTTTCCGTTCACTCTGCCTCCTCTGCTGCAGGCCCAGCCTCACCTGCAGGCACCACTGCTCACCTCTCAGGAGGGATGTGCAGTCTCTGTTCCAGGTCCTCACTCCTAGACACTGCTTTCTTTTGAAAATCTGAAATTGCTTTTATTTATTCCTTTTAAAAATAGCATAATTCTTGCTCTTAAAATCTGATTCTCCGACTGATGCTTGAAAATATTCTTTTATATTCTTCTGCCTTGTTTCTGCTGTGAATAAGACAATATATGTACCTAAGTTGCATATATTTTCAGTGTTCTTATCTTTAACATAATATATAGATATGAAGTCTTTATATATAAATATTAAATATGCTAGTCTGAATTAAGCTAAAAATCTAACACCTGAACTGCTCTTTCTTTTCCTTTCTCTCGGCTCCTTTTGATTAATGCCTGATAATGTGAATGGTGAGTTTTTTTTGCTTTCAGTAACATCATTTTATATATTATGTGACAAAAAAATTAATGCCATATTATAATTAGTGGCATATAAGAAAATTGGCTTTTTATTTTGAAAAGAAGCCTATAATTACTGTCGTTTTTCAAAGGGATGAAAATTACCCATTTTAAATGGAAGTTATTTTTGACAAAGAATCAAAGTAAATATTGTCTGATAATATGCCTTAAATCAACTATCTTTTCGCTAAAAGTTGTAATCAGCCTCTCACTTTTGGAATAGGTATTTATTCCTATGATTTATATTTGCATAGACAACAAAATGTCTTTAATATACAAACCAAATTTTATGTATTATATTTGTGAGATGTAATTACAAATTTATTAACTAGACCTTTGATTTTAGATTCAGTTTTATTTTTAACTACCATTAAATTATTGGGGAGTGAGAAACCTCAATTTTATATTGTCAGAGTACCCAGAAGGTTTTCTAGTAGCTATAAGTTCAGTGTATCTTCCTTTGGTCCCATGCCTCTTCCCACCCATCCCACCCGACATTTAAAAGCTGTGATGTAGGAAAGAATTTTTAAATTTAAATAAATACATTATAAAGTATTTACTGTTCAATATATTACTAGATGGAATTGTGGCATTTAGTTTCTTTTTTGTGAAGACTATAAGGGAACAATTATATTTTAAAGCCTTTTCACGTAGTTATACATTTAAAAGATAATGATTAGGACCTTTTTAATATTAGAATTTTATAAAATCAATTTAAAATTGCAAAATAACCATTGAGTAAAAACAATATTTCAAACAAGAGCCCACGTTCCTTACTCCCACAACAGGCTGGAAAGTTAAAAGACGGTGCTCGCTCTGTTACCAGAACCATTCAGAATAACTTCTTCGACAGCTCCAAGCAAGAAGCCATTGACATTTTGCTCCTGGGAAATACTCTAAACAGTGATTTAGCTGACAAAGCCCGAGCACTTCTAACTACTGGAAGTTTGCGTGGTATGTATACTTTGTGTTTTATTTACTTCATTTATTTGTAGTCCTAAAATGTCCAAAAGAAGTGAATCTGAACTTAACCTCATGAGTACTTTTTAGGCTATAGTTGATTTAAATAATTTTAGAAGGAATTTCTGTACAGTTGGGGTTTTTTGAAATAGCATTCTCCAGTGAAGCTTTTTTTCTTGTCAGGTGTTAATACTGTGAGTGATTCTTAGCCACAAACTGGCTGTTTAGTTCTGAACGCTATGCGTACTTTCTTCTGTAGATTGTGACTGGGGCTGTGTATAAGTGCTGCTAACCTGATGCAAGGCAGGGTTCCATCGACTGTGAGCTAGCACATCGTGTATATATCCAGCTATACAGGCAATGCTTCCTTGAGGAAACCTGTTCTACATTGGTTAGTTTTCATAAACACCACAAGTCTTTCTGTAATCATGTCCTAACTTTGGTTGCTATTGTTTGAGCTGGCTTAAGTAATAGTAATGGTTTAAAGTAGTGTTTCTTATTGACCACTAACTGCTATTATCCATTTTAATATTTCACATAAATATATGGCTTTTAAGATAGCTTTTTACCTTTTATTGTATGCTTTTTAAAAAATTTGAATTTCTCATATTAGTGAGTACACAAAAGCAATATTATGAGGAAACTAAACATTCTTGTTCTGTAATACATTAGACTTCCTGCCCCTCCCCAGCTTTATTGAGGTATAATTGACAGGTTCACTTAGATTTTTTTTTTTTTGTTACACTCTTTTCCTATTAGAACTTTATAGCACTGTAGACTTCTTTCCTGTTAGGCCCAAAGCTTCCAACACGCACTCCACACAGGACATTTTCTGTATCCAGAAATGTCATCTTGAGACTGACCTTACAGGAGATCATAGCTTGTCAGATTTCTCCTGTGAAGGCCATTCATTACAAGCAGCTCCTCCAGAATGTATAAATAGGCTTGGGGGATGGGGCCTACTCAAAACTCTTAAAATTAAAAAAAAAAAAAAAAAGTCTGACACTTACTACATCTTTGAACTTCAGACTTCTTCCTGGCTTTCAGAAGTAAGACTGACTGATTTCTGTTTTGTCACCTCTTTCCACCTGTGCCTACTCTGATGTGGAGGCATTAATAAGCAACAATTGAAAGTAAGTGTGTGAAGGAAAAGGACAAGCAAAGACGCTCAGTAACTCTCTAAGCTAAGCATCAGGTGTCTAGTTCCTTGCACATCTCTCCATGTGTAATATGCCTCTCAAAAGTAGTCAGCTCTACTGCCATGCTTGTTCTGAGACTGAGAGAGAACTTGCTCCAGTGTGGTGATACATTAGGTAATGATGTGAACATGATGCCAATTTTGCATGAGCTTATGCGTGATTTTGCTGGCAAGCAACATTAGGCAAATGCAAAAAAACTACCCAACAGAACCAGTATGGGTACAGATATATAAAACGTGCATAGCCATATGTCCATACCATAAACATCTTCCCTTCTGTAGTTCAATATGTGTTTTGAGCCATAACCACTCACATCTGATGTTTCATCTTCTCATCCATTTTCTGATAGCACTTTTGCTACAGTTGCTATGCCCCTCTGATGGCCATTTCTATAAGCCAACTTCATATTTTTTAAATACCTAGTGCCTTACTATTGTATAGTCATGCATTTCATAGCCATTTAACATATATAGTACTATGCTGCTTTTAAAATTAGGTTCCTGTCTTCTTTGATGTGTCACTTTTGAAGTTTTTATGTGTGAAGCCCAACCCCATTTTTCCCATAAGCCTTTACAGCCATGGGAATTTGCATACTGCAGTTCATGTTTTTTAGGATGCACTTGTCTTATTATAACTAAACTTGAAGCACTTATCGATTGGTGAGTCCCAGAAAAAGAATATTAAAAGTTATGTGTTACGATACTCCATTCCATGTCTTTGGTGTCCATTAGCCTCTTAGATTTTCATGCTCACACTCTCTCACACACATACAAACATACACATGTATACACACACACACACACACACACACACACGAGCATCTGGAAGAGGACGACTTTCACATTGTGAAGCAGTGGACATCATTGAGTCAGTACAGGATTTCCTCAGATACATGGGTTTGTATCAGTTACTGTTATTGCTGTTATAGTGTCAAAAGCAAATTCAAGTTGTCAACTTGAAAGAAATAAGTAAGGCCATCTCAGGATGTTTTTAAGGTAACACAATAGGTTTTAAATGTAACTTGTTGATTTACTAATGATTCTTTGTTTTCTTCTTGATGCATCCGTAGTTTCTGAACAGACATTACAGTCAGGTACAGTATAGAAAAATCAATGTATAAATAAAAGCAACCTTTTCTTTATTTTTCTAAAGCTGATGTTGTACACACAGATGTAATTTTACCTTCACGTTACAGGATAAATTAATATTTTTTTTTTACTCAGTTTTCAGAAAGTAAGTACTTTATTCCGGAAGAAATATACAGGATTCTTTCTCTTCTTGAATCATAGGCATATTCCAATGAGAGATACTTCAGCTAGATTAAACCTCACTTTATATTTGCTTGAGCATTGTCATTTTTAGATCTTTGTCTTCATAGGCTGCAGGAAAGGGTCTGAACATGACTGTCTTGCATTGATTCAGATACCATCCATGCTGTTTATAAGTACTCAGCACTGCCTTTCACAGAAGTTGCTGGCTCATTCCCTTACTTTGTGGATGATTTTTTTTTTTTTCAATAACTGCAGACCTGCACTAAAATAAGATCTGAAACCTTTTCACTTTAAACAGCAGCATTGGTTCCCCAAGTTAGAGCAGGCACATTGATAGTACTTAAAATGGCTCCTCTTTTCCTTGCCATCTCATCTCTTTATTCTCTGTAGGTTTTATCTTTAAAGGTGAATCTGTAGCAAACAGGACAAAGTACAAGTATTGCAAGAAATTTAGCTGAAAATCAATACCTTTTCTTCCTTTCCTATGACATTTTGCCTGATTACCAGTATGGCTCTTCTGAGAAACTATTGCTGTTTTGTTTTAAAGGAAAGTGGGGGAGGGAACACTTGGTTGTGCTGTGGGTTATGTAATGAGCACCATTTCTGTAGGGTATGGTGTTTAGACAGACATTTGTAGTTTTAGCAGACTCATTTCTGTAAACACATGAAGATGCCAACATGGTAAGAATAAACTAGACTTATACTTTACCTTCTCATTCTATTTGTGAAGTGAGCTGACCTTATTAATTCAAACTACACAGCAGCCTGGTTTTGTTCACATGGCGTTACTGTTTTTGCTCAATTCTGTAAGCTATGCAGTCACAGAATTGACATCTTGACATCGAGTGGATTTTTATTGCTGTCTTCATAGTAACAGTGACAATGACTTTAGAATCCAGTGATGTCCATCATAATTTAACAGACTGGTTTTTGCTGGTTGTTGTCAGCTTTCTGTTGTCTGTACTGAGGACAGAGCAGATGATCTGCTTTTGTTAGCACCCAGTCACTGCTGTTGACAATTAAACCAAACAGGAAGGTTAGAAATGTGTGTGTGTGTATATATGTATATATGCTCTTAAGAAAATGAAGATATGGTTATCATTCAAATAATCTCCAGTTCCCAGACAGCTCCCAGGTCAAAAATACTTTTCATGACACTAATATGTCACTGATCTTTCCCAATCTCAGGTGCTCAGGACACTGCTAGTTTTGAATATCATAAATTAATAAATAGCATAGTAAAATGAGGTTATTTTGTAAAATATGAAAGATTATATTAAAATAAGCAAAGGAGGACAGTGGGTTCTGAAAGGCATTGTGCAGTTTTAGCCAGGGGCAGAGGGGCCTTTTTGAAATTAAAGAGCTGAAGGATAAAGGGAAGAGTGTTATAGGCTGTGGGAACTGCAGGCTGAATGCTATGTAATAGATGCAAGCCTGCTAAGCAGGCCTGTGGCTGGGTGGTGAGTGAACGGAGAGGGGCTGAAGATGAGGACAGAGAAACCAGAGACCCCTTCAGGACACTACTAAGCACTTGAGCTCCTCTCAGTGAGATGGGAAGCATTCAGTAGTGATTTCATTCCAGCATCTCATTTTCTTCCCTAATGCTCATTTTTGTGAGGGAGTCATTGTTCATCAAGCCCCACCTGTCAGTAATTTGAATCCTAAATTTGTATGTTTTAAAGTGTTTTTGTTTAGGGGGAAATGAAATTTATGTTTTTACCAGCCTCTTAATAAAATTTTAAGTCAGTTGCTATATTGCTAAAAAAATACAGCTTTTAAGTTTTATGTATTATAAACCAGCATACCATTGAACTAGAACGGTTCCTCTTGCATGCTTTATGTTTCTACAGTCATTCTGAAATAGTTTTTATGTCCAGTCTTTAATTTCATTTATTCAGTGTGGTTAATGCCTTCGGCTGGGCTTGGCATTTAAGGCTGATCTCTTCCTGTGCCTGCGCATGCGTTTTATTTGTGCTTGTGACAGTAATTGTGTATTCCAGATACCATCTGCTGATGAAAAATACTTTTACAAATGGTTTACTGCAGCTAACATTCTCTTGAATTTTATTTTTAATTAGCATCTTCCAAAGTCTTAAAGAACATGTGTGAGAATTTCTACAAGTATTCAAAACCCAAGAAGATTCGAGTATGTGTTGGAACCTGGAATGTGAACGGTGGAAAGCAGTTCCGCAGCATAGCATTTAAGAACCAGACACTCACGGACTGGCTTCTTGATGCTCCCAAGTTAGCTGGCATCCAGGAGTTTCAAGGTTGGATTTTTATTTCAGGGGTTTAATTAAAGTCTTGACTGGAATGTGACACTTCACAGTTTGGAAAAGAAACTCAAGCTTCTTTTAGTAGTTTAAAAGCCAACATTTCTCAAGTCTGATAAAAAGCTTACTTCACTCTTTATTTTTAGATATTTTCTACTTAGTTAAAAAGAAAGATGGTAGAGCTGGGTATGGTGGTTTATATCTAATTCCAGCACTCCAGAGACTGAGACAGGAGGATTTCTTTAATTTCTTGGGAAGCCTGGACTACATAGTAAAACTTTGTTTTACATAGTAAAAGTTTGTTTTGGTTCATAAAACAAAACAAACAGAAGCAGAAGTCCTTTTTCTTTCTTTTTTGGCCAATTGTTTCTCAGGAAATTGGGATGGAGACATCTTTGAAGGCAGCCACATATATAAGAAAAAAAAAAAAAACTACTTCCGTTTTTATTTGAGTAGACATGAACCAAGATTATTTTGTAGTTGATCATTTGTACTCTATTATTTAAGCCCAGGATGGCTCATTTTCCAGGGTAGGTTGTGAGAAGTCTTATAGAAATTATGGTAACTTGGTTGTGAAAGCGGCCTGGAGAGCTAAATTCTGTTGTAGAATCTCTGCGGCACCTGCACAGATGCGGGGCACATAAGCCCACACAGGTACACACACAAAATAAGTTAAAAAAAAAAAAAAAACTTGGTTGTTCATTGCGGATATTCTGCCACCGAGCTATTGATAGCAGAAGTGTCCAACATTGTAATAGTAATTAGAGTCAGGAACTTAAGAATCCACTTAACCTTTCCTTAAAAATATTCTGTTATTACCAGCATTATGCATAAAGGTGCTATGTATGGGAAAGTTTGCTAAATAGAAACTTTCCTTTCTTAGTAATTTTTATTCAATCACATCTTATCTTTTGGAATTTCTTTCAAACATTTTGTTAAAATTGAGCCATTTTCAGTTATATTAATCCAAGTTGGAAAAGAGGGATAATAATAGAATGATTAATAATAATAAAAACAGCATGATAGGTTTTTTTTCACATACTTAATTCTTGTAGCAGACAGAATAATTCTTTTAACTCTGCAGATTTGATTCATTTTCACCTTTGAGAAGTGGCTGTTTCTCTCTTGTTAGTGGCACAAATTTTAAGTTGGTTTCAAGTGATTTATTTAATTTTTAAGGATTTTCAGAATAATCTTAAAGAGACTTAAGTTTAAAGTAATGTAGCTCACTGATGAATTTTTATTCTTTTTAATTTTTTTTTAAATTTTTACTGTTAATATAAATTTGCTTAAATTCAAAACACACAAAAAAGATTTCTATGTGATCTGGGGCTGTCATGTGATCTGGGTAAGGTCATTTGAGCAGTGCTATATTTAAAGATATTTTTGAATGCTTAATTGTAGATAAAAGAAGTAAACCAACTGATATATTTGCAATTGGCTTTGAAGAAATGGTGGAGTTGAATGCTGGGAACATTGTGAATGCAAGGTAAGCTAGCTTGATAGCAGCACTGGGAGACAGTAAATGAGTTGTCATTACAAAGTTGACATTGAGAAGTATGTGGAAAGGTACTTTTTAAATTGTAAATAGCAGTTCTCAATATTTTTGATAGGAATCTTTCTAAAATTAAAGTGTTAATTTTTATATTAGAAGTTAAGACTGAAAAATTATAAGCAGTTATTTTAAAATAATAGGAACTGGCAAGATGGCTTTTCACCAAACCTGATGACCTGACTCTGGAACCAACATAAAAAGTAGAAGGTGAAGCCAGCTCTGGCTTTGACTCAGATGTGCACTGAGGTGTGCATAGCCATGCACACACACGCACATGTGCACACACACACAAATAACTTTTAAAATAAGCACAGGAACAATAGAGACCCTAGCACAGCTAACATAAATGGTTTTTCCTTCTTCTTAACATTTCTAATCAGAAGTTTACTGGGAAGCATGTTTTACAGTTTTTACAAGTTGCTTTAATGTGTCTAGTAAGAAAGCTGGATTCTTACATATATTTCATGGACTTCTGTATTGTGCTGCAGTGTTGAAAGGAGTGAATTATGTGAAGAAAAAACACATTTTAATAACTTTTCTAGAGAATGTCTTCTCTGACAGGTACTATATCAAAACTTAACAAATGGTAGTGCCTCTTAAAGATTATTTGAAAATGGAATCTGAAACCTTGTTAGTGAGCTTTTAAAAAACAGATTTGTTTGTATGTGTATGACTGTTTTACCTGTGTGTATATAAGTGTACCACGTGCAGGCTCCTGCCGAGGTCAGAAGAGGGCCTCAGGTTCTCATAAAACTGGAGTTCCAAATGGTTGTGAGGCAGCATGCTGGGTGCTGGAAGCTGAGCGTGGTTGCCCTGCAGAAGTAGCCAGTGCTGGGAACTGCTGAGCACAGCCAGCGCTGATTAGTGAGCTACTTGTGCTTTCTCTTTAAAATTAATAGTTTATTCACTTGGTAGCCCAGCTGTAGTCCCCTCCCTTGTTCCCTCCCAATCCCACCGTCCCTCCTTTATCTCCTCCCATGTCCCTCTCCAAACCCTCCTCCCCTTCCCTCTGACCCTTAGCCTATCAGGTCTCATCAGGAGTGGCTACACTGTCTTCCTCTGTGGCCTGGTAAGGTGGCTCCCCCCTCAGGGGGAGGTGATCAAAGAGCAGGCCAATCAGTTCATGTCAGAGACAGTCCCTGTTCCCATTACTATGGAGGCCACTTGGAGACTGAGCTGTCATGGGCTTCATCTGTACAGGGGTCTTAGGTTATCTCCATGCATGGTCCTTGGCTGGAGAACAACAGAACCAAAAAATCTGGGCTCTTTGTGCTTTTATTGCACTAAATGTGTTAAGTCTTTTACCTTGGCATAGTCCTTTTTTTTTTTTCTTTTTGGTTTTTTGGGACAGGGTTTGTCTGTGTAGCCTTGGCTGTCCTGGACTAACTTTGTAGACCAGACTTGCCTTGAACTTGCAGAGATCTGCTTGCCTCTGCCTCCCAAGTGCTGAGATTAAAGGTGTGTGCCACCATTGCCCGGCATTGCAAACACTTTTGTAACAAGTCATTCTAACCAATTATATCTCAAAAACAGTCTGTATAGAAAACTCAGATAATAAAGTGGACCGCCCATTGTAAAAGGCTTTCATTCATCATCACTGTAAGAAATACAGAAAGGTAACTGAAGCCTCGCGGCATTGGGTTGCGTCAGTAGCTCCTGGAGAGTGTTGGCGTGGGAGGGAAATGGCTGCTCCTCGGTGGTCAGTGCACAACAGTGAGGGGTATATTGACTTCTAGGGTAGTTTGTGTTCTAACTCGGGTGAAATCATTAACATTTCCACGAAGTATAGTTTTGAAAACGTCACTCAACACAAAGGACGTGTATTACACTGGGAAAATAGTAGTAACTCTGTTCCTTTAGGAAATGTTCCAAGAACTTCTCCAGACCTCACGGGAGTACTGCTAATCTAAAGCCGTATAACAGATTCAAAGTATATGAGCAAAATGGAATCTTTGGTACCCTATTTTTTAAAAAGTGTGCTTGCTTTTAAAGGTGAGCAGTTGCCCATCTTTTGTGAGATTTTAAGAGATTTCAGAAGGAAATTGTGGACTGAAATGTAGTGTAGTCATCAGTCTTGCAAACAGCAATTATTTTCTTAGTTGAAGTAAGTAATAGTTTAATTAAGGAAACAGAAAAGAAATCTGTCTTAAGTCGCTTATTTTGCTATTGGAATATCTTTCTTGAAAGTACATACTCTTCGGGTCCCTGATACTAAAGAAATTCATTCATTGTTTTCCTAAATAAAGGAAATCTTTCCTAAAGACTTTTCTTTAATAAAGTGGTGGGTTTTCTTTTTACATTTCTTTAACCAGCATCTATTGATCATGTTACTCTAAATGGTAAAGATATATCTGAACGAGTAAAAAGGACAAACATCCTTGTCTGCATGGAGATTGTCTTCTATTGAGAATATACAGACAGTGCTAGGAAGTTTAATAAATAGGTGGCAGAGCATGTTAGAAATGTGCTAAATAAGGTGGAGTCTGTGGAAGTGGGGGGGGGGAGTCGAAGCAGGGTAGGGTTCATTGTAGAGATAACTTGAGGAGTGACCTGAAGAAAATGATCTTCCAGAATCTGCATCACAGTTTTGGCAATACTGTTGGAGAGTTTTATTTGGAGACAGTATGGCACATGATCTAAGTGAGGTGGCTGTAAGGTTTTATTCTTGCTTAGTATTTATGTGACCTGGAATAACAAGAAGAACAAAAACCATTTTTCTCCCAATTGGAGGCTCTGAGGTTCAAACTCAGTACTTTGAAAACACAAAAACCAAAGAAACATTTACCCTGCCTTTGTTCTGTGACTGCATTGCAGGATAACTGAGTAGTTGATCAGTTCTTTCTGAAGCTTAGTTACAATTGCCTGTGTTGTACTGTTCCAAAATGAACATTTTACAGCTATTAATTAGTAATAGATCTGTACACTGACCATCAGTAAGTGATGTTGATTGATATTCCCAGAAGAACAGTCATGAGCAACTCTACAAAGAGTGTGTTAGCCCAATTTTGGCCAAAAGAAATACACAGATAAAACTGAGCTTGTTGCTTAATCAAGTTGCTTTACTAGTCATCGTAAAGGACAAAATGAGTTATGCAGGGACAAGCTGAGACACCATAAGAACACATTAGCCAGATGTAGACTGCTGACATTTTACAGGCAAGTGGTCTGGTTCTTGTTTTTGTAATTTCCATTATGCATGTGAATTGACAAGGAGGGTGGGGGACCATTGAGACTAAGAGAGTTAATAGACGTGGCCAGTAACACACGCTGAAACCATTGGCCTCTTCTAAGAAACAAATCAATTGCAAGAAGACTTTTATTTTTAGGAAATAAGGGAAGTTTAAATACTAATTTAAACTTAGTATTTAGTATGCATATTGGGTGATAGTAAGGGTGTTGTAATGATGGTACTGTGGTTAAATGTGGTTAAATCCTTTTAACTAAGGATAAAAATGTCCATTGTATTAAAGACACAATTATCATGAGTGAAATGCTACATGTCTTAGATTTGCTCTAAAATATCCCATATTTACAAGAAAGAGGGCAAGAAGGAGGAAGAGAGATTTTGAAGCTAAATTCTGGTATATGATGACTTACTTTACCAATTTTAGGCTTTTTAATTTTTTCATAATAAATTATTTAAAAGAAAAAAAATTTAATTAAAAAAGAATAGTTTAGGGGAATCTCCTGTTGCTCTTCCAGAGGACCAGTATTGAGTTCCCAGCACCCAAAAAGGGGGGCTCACAACAGCCTGTAACTCTGTCTCCAGGTTTTCTTTGTCCTCCTCAGATACCTACACATACCTGACATGCACTTACACACATACACCCACCCACACACACACACACAGTTTGTAAATAAACAAAACTTAAATTCATGAAAATAAGAAAACTAGGGGATGAGATAAGGTGATATGTAGAAGTATGTTTCTTCATTAGCCTAATAAGACTTGAAACTAAAGTGCTATCCAAGTCACCTCATGTCATTTAGTAAGTCATTTGCCTTTGGTTTTTGTTGCTGTTTGGTTTTGTTTTGTTTTTCTGTTTTCCGAGACGAGTTTTTTCTGTGTAGCCTTGGCTGTCCTGGACTCACTTTGTACACCAGGCTAATATCGAATTCAGAGATCTGCCTCTGCCTCCCGGAGTGCTGGGATTACAGGCGTGCACCATATTACTTCTGAACTCCTTGGTTTCTTGGTAGGCTTTTTATTTTAGCATTACTTGTTTATTTGTGTGTGTTTGTGTGTATGAAGGCACACATGTGCAGTGGTGTGCATGCAGAGGTCAGAGGATAACTTCAGAGGTCAGTTCTCTCCTTCCCCAATGGTCGTGGGGATTGAGCGCAGGTTGTCAGGCTTGCAGTGACACCTTTATGTGGTGTGCTATCTCACTAAACCTATATCTCCTTTTGGAGGAGCTGTAGATGTTTGAAATGCTGTATTATTTTTGCTAAGCTGTAAGTTTTTCTTTTTAAAGGGAACAAAAAACAGTTTGCATGAAATTTTCTCCTTTTTAAGAAATCGGTGTCTTCCTAAAGATTCCTCTTTAATACTTTGGTAGCACAACAAACCAGAAGCTGTGGGCAGTGGAGCTGCAGAAGACCATCTCCAGAGACAACAAGTACGTTCTGCTGGCTTCAGAGCAGTTGGTGGGTGTCTGCCTGTTCGTTTTTATCAGACCACAACATGCTCCTTTTATCAGGTCAGTAACAGACACTCTCCTGTGGCACTTCTCACTAAATGACAAGAAATGTCCTAGAGTGTGCAATGTCATCTCTTCCATTTATTCGTTCTTTCTGTTTTAAAGGGATGTTGCAGTTGATACTGTGAAGACTGGGATGGGAGGTGCAACTGGAAATAAGGGAGCAGTTGCAATTCGAATGCTCTTCCATACTACCAGCCTTTGCTTTGTCTGTAGCCACTTTGCTGCAGGGCAGTCACAAGTCAAAGAGAGAAATGAAGATTTTGTAGAAATAGCACGAAAATTGAGTTTTCCTATGGTAAGCTTCTGCTGTTTATTCTTTAAGATAAACCTTTGAAATGTATATTTCAATTTATATTTTCTGCCAGCAGTTTCGAAGATTTAAAGCAGTTTTGAGAAATGTCAACAGTACTCATCTACTTTGTCTTGTTACTATTGGGCTCACAAAAACAGTGTTGATAGTGGCAAGCATATCTGAAGCAAAGAAACAGTGGGAAGCACATTGAAATAGTATTTTGAACTTCAAATGCCATCTCATGTTTCCAGGGAAGGATGCTGTTTTCCCATGACTATGTATTTTGGTGTGGTGATTTCAACTATCGAATTGATCTTCCTAATGAAGAGGTTAAAGAGCTCATAAGACAGCAAAATTGGGATTCTCTTATAGCTGGAGACCAACTCATCAATCAGAAAAATGCAGGGCAGGTAAATACATACTGATAAGATAATTGTGTTACAAAGGGACCTTTTGAATGCACTTGCAGCACTTACAGAAAACTCAGGTTCAGTGCCCAGCAGCACACATTGGGCAGCTCACAACCACCTGTAACTCCAGGTCCAGTGTCCTTTTCTGGCCTTTGCCGGCACCGGCACATTACACGGTGCACACAGAGACATAAAAAGGCATAAAAAGATGCACGGAAAGAAAAAGAGATATGTTTGTTTTTCTTCAGATAGAGAGAAGGAAAAGAAGAGAATTTGGGGGACAGGGAGATGGGAAGGGAGTTAAAGAACTTGCCGTGCAATCCTGGAGATCTAAGTCTGATCTTCAGAACCTACACAGAAAGCCCAGGTGAGAGCCCTGGTGTGGAGTGGGCACCTGCGATCCTCAGGAAGGGAGGCCGGCACAAGAGGGCCAGCCAATTGCCAGAAGCTCGTGGACCAGCCAGCCCGGAGTAAAACCGCAGAATCCAGATACATCCCGCCTCATTGAGATAGAGGGCAAGAACAACTCCAAAAAGTTGTCCTCTGACCTCCACATGTGGACTGTGGCACATATTCCTCATTCAACATACTCACACATAAAATTATAAATATACACATAGTAAACAACAGTTGTAAAAGGATATGAATTTTGACAATTAAACATTTTCTTATTCCATTTCTGTATTTACTGGGAGCTGCTTATGCATATCCGTAGGTAAACATACAGAATTATACTTTCTTGAAAGAGGAAAGAAAAATAAGGGGAAGAGAAGATTTAAAAAAATTATAATTCTTTCTAGGAAAGAATGCATATATTGTGTGTGTGTGTGTGTTTATATATTTATATACAATTTTAAACAGAAGACATAATTTTAGGTGATGATGATAATGTGGAATCTCAGTTTAAACAGAAGTGATTGGAGCTCCTGGTAACCTGGTATACTGTCTAGCTTGGATTCTTATACCTTGGTGACTACTTCAGCTTTGCAGATGACAGCTCCATTATTTGAGAGTATATCAGGCTAGATGATTCCCAAATACCATCTTCTACTTTTTTTTTTTTTAAGATAGGGCAAGACTGGGGATTGAACCTAGGTCCTAATGCTTTCAAAGCAAGTGCTCTACTTCTAAACTACAATCCCAGTTTTCCATAGAGTTCTGAATATCTCATAAAGCAGGGTGGTTTTCCTTATTTATGTTTTAAATTTTCATTATTGGACAGTTAAGTGATAGGGAAAAGGTTACATTTTAGGTCTGTGGGTTTTTGCTTATTTAAAAAATTTTTGTTAGTGTTCACTGAATAGATATTTTATATGAGCTTATCCAGCACATAAATGTAAAAATATAGGACTAGGGAGATGGAGCCAAAGCCCAATTCTGGCCTCCATGAACACTAGCACACATATGCAAAGACAAACACACAGAAAACAAATTCATGTCAGCTCAGTTCCCAGCACAGCAGACATGGGTTACTCTCAGTCTTGGTCAGAGAAGCTACTCCTTGTAGTATTAGTTGTCAGTGGAGAGACACATAACTGCCAGAGTGCTGCAAATAAGACACTGAATGCTCAGCCCTTAGCCAGTGATCCATATTAACCACCACCAGCTTCCAGGGACCATCTCAGAAGATGAGGAAGAAAGAGATGGAAGGACAGCAGATGAGGGGAGTGCTGTGACACGTGGCTATGGCAGTCATGACCGTAGCAGCTGTAGCACCTGCTTAACACCTAAGACGACGAGGCTAGGGGAACAGGGACTATTTCTAACAGGGACTCAATGGCTGGCTCTCTGACCTCCCCACCCCCCAAGGGAGGAGCAGTCCTGCTAGGCCACAGAGGAGGGCTTTGCAGCCAGTCCTGAAGATACCTGATAAAACAGGATCAGATGAAAGGGGAGGAGGTCCCCCCTATCAGTGGACTTGGAAAGGGGCAGGGTGGAGATGAGGGAGGGAGGGTGGGATTGGGAGGGAATGAGGGAGCGGGACACGGCTGGGGTACATAGTTAATAAAATGAAACTGATAAAAAAAATTAAATTAAATTTAAAAAAGTTAATAATAAAAAAAAAAGACTAGGCTAGCTAGAATTGCAGCTGGATGATCTCTAGGCCCCACCCATTCTGGGGGAGCGTTTGGCAGTTGATAGTTGGTGGGGGAGGGAGAATCATTTTTCTAAGGGTGGGGCCACTGGTAAGTTTTTTTATGCTCAAGTACAGTGGCTCTCAACCTGTGTGTCAGGACACCTTTAAGAGTCACATATCAAATAAATAAAAATAAAAAGTTACGTATCAGATATTTACATGATGACTTATAACAGGAGCAACAAAATAATTTTATGGCTGGCAGTCACCACAAGATAAGGAACTGTGTTAAAGGGTCTTAGCATTAGAAGGGTTGAGAGCTGCTCTAATGGATGTATAGCACTAATTGGATTTAATGAGTTATCAAAAAAGATGACATGATACTGTAGAGAATGGGGGAGGGTTGAAGGGGAGAAACAGAGGGTGAATATGATCATGTTTTATTGCATATGTGGATTCTCAAAAAATTACAATTTAAGTAAAAACATATTTTGAAATAACTTTGTTTTTATTTTAGATTTTTAGAGGATTTTTAGAGGGAAAAGTAACATTTGCTCCAACCTATAAATATGACTTGTTTTCTGAAGACTATGACACCAGTGAGAAGTGCCGTACCCCTGCGTGGACAGACCGTGTCCTCTGGAGGAGGAGGAAGTGGCCTTTTGACAGATCAGGTTAGGAGTGGACTTTTTATTTAGGGAAATTAATGTGAGTTTCTGAGAAGGAAGAAAGCAGTGATAAATATTAAGCAACAACCAGGGCTTTTTTTATACAAACGTTACCTAGCATAAAACAAACACTTTAAAAATATTTTGTGTACGTGTTTTAGTGACATAATTTCATGTAAAGTGAAGAAACATTTTGTAGAATTTCTGATTGCAGTCCTAAAATTGTTGTTTTTGAATGACCACTTAGCTATTAAACTTCTATGAAACATTGTTTAGTCCCAGGCCTTAAGTAATGTCAGAAGTAAGCAACATACTAATTCTTCCCAAGGAAAAATAAGATAACTTGACCAGATATATATATTTCTAGTTTAAAGATGTCTAGGCTGCCTGTTTCCAGGCTTTTGGCATTTTAGCCTCAGACTGTTGTAAGGTTCTAAAGGAAGTAGGCACTTATTCATGTCAGATGTCCTACACAAGTGGCTTCTCTCAGATTCTCTTTTATTCTGATTTCAGCTGAAGATTTAGATCTTCTGAATGCTAGTTTTCAAGATGAAAGCAAAATCCTTTATACATGGACCCCTGGCACCTTGCTGCACTATGGGAGAGCTGAGCTGAAGACGTCTGACCATAGGTTTAAACAGTTTTTCTAATGATGCTTGAAGTTTGTTAGAAATAAGTCCCTTTAGAAATATTCCTAATACAGCTACCTTGCTTTGTGCCTTAAGGCCCGTCGTTGCCCTGATTGATATAGATATCTTTGAAGTTGAAGCTGAAGAGAGACAAAAAATTTATAAAGAAGTCATTGCAGTCCAGGGTCCACCAGATGGCACAGTGCTGGTCTCAATCAAAAGTTCTGCACAAGAAAATACTTTTTTTGATGATGCTTTGATTGATGAGCTTCTGCAGCAGTTTGCACACTTTGGGGAAGTTATACTCATAAGGTGAGTGAGGGGTCTGCAACCAGAGTGCATATAAGCAGTAGTTTCTACACTGGAAAGCCTTATGTACTGACCGACTAGTGTGTAAGAATGACATGCCCAAACTAAAGAGCCATACTTAGGATGTTATTCAAGAACTCGTGGGTTTTGAAGTTAAGTTCTCTACTTGGAAAACTTAAAGTGAATAATGAAACTTTTACATGAACAATTGAAGACAAAGATTTGAGCTCAGGAATGACTTCTGCAAGATTTCCTCTACAGAGGAGCAATGTAGCAAGCTCTGTGTGAGAGTGAAGCTGTGGATGGCAATTTTAGTGTTTTAAGGAGAGAAAAGTAAAGGGAGCAGGCTTGATGGTGTACACCCACCAGTACTCCAGGGTCCAAGAGGCTGAGGCAAGGGGATCATGAGTTCAAGGCACTACATAGAAAGTGTGTAAATAATTGCCTTTAAATAAGTAAATAACCTAGAGGGATTTTTTTTTCTCTGAGCTGAAGAAATCTGGTGTTTAAGGTCATTATAAATGGTAAATGTTCAGTTTCCAGACAGCAGAAACATGGTAAGTAGTAGGAGCTATCTGTTTGAGTCTTGGGTCCCTGTATTTACAAAACTATATGCCTCTTATTTTAACAGTGTTTTTTTTGTCTTCTTTCACATGTACAACTGTTGTGAGAAATTGAATTTCATGTGTGTCTTTTAATTCCATCTGGAAATGAGTGGTACATAATTACTTTGTATGGTATTCATGTGCTTTTTAGGGTGTGTTTTATTTGTACTCGTTGGGCAAACCTCTATACAAGGCAGTATAGAAATGCAGAGGAGAACTTAGGCATGGTGTGTGCTTATTATCTTTGTGGAATGTCATCATAGTGGCTTTGTCTCCATAGGATGCGGATGGGGTGGTTTCTGTAGAGTGGAAGTAAGCCTGAGACACAGCAGGTCCTTTCAGGGAGCAGAGGCTGAGCAAATGGAAAAAAATGTGTTTAGACTTACCTCAGATCCTTGTTTTTTCTTTTGTTTTTTTTTTACACCCCCCCCCCCCCACGCTCAAGTGTTTGAGAGCAGTCTCTTTTAAATCTTCAAAATGGTATAAAATTTGATCCTGAAAGATCAGTGAACAGAGGCACAACCTGGCCTGGGATCCATGTGAGGGTGGAAGAAGAGAGCCACCTTTACAGAGCTGTCTTCTGAGCTCGACTCACATGCCCTGGCGATGATGAATTAATTCTTTTCTAAAAGACTTAAAAACTTAAGGCTCTAGAAAGTACACTGTAAAATCTCCCAGATTTACTGATGACAGTAAACCTTGCAAGTATAGAAATGTTAGGCCACCGGAAACATCTGTGAACTATGTGTGAGTGGGCAGCAAGTAGCTTCATGAGCAAATGTAAAATACAGCTTTGAGCTGGAAGACTCCAAATTATATAAGAAAGAGGCTGGTAAAAGAGAAGGGACTTGTGTCCTTTTTAACTCACTGGGTTCTTCCTAGTTCAGAACTGAAGCTAAAAGCTTTCCTCAGAATACTGTCAACATTAGGGAGAATATTGATGAGAAACTCGCTGTTACTGTGCTCTAAAGCCATGGGTATCTGGACAGTAAGGATGTTCTGACAGCAGGGATAATACCAAGTTGATAAACAAAAGCAGACAGTAAAGAAGATGTGAAGGCTACAGCTGTGACCACAGTGCCACTACCAAAGAACAAACGACATTTGGAGCTCAGGGTAGGGATACCCAAGAACACTCTTACAGAGGGCATCCTCCATGGCCAGCCATTTGGTAGTACTTAGGGAAGAATGCCATCCTGTGTACTGACAGTGCTCTTGTAACTTAATAATTTCATGCCAGAGAAGCTGAGTCAGTTGTCATTGTGATGTCTAAGTGATTATAAGGTGTATACATGGGATACATGGCTTCAGTAGAGCACAGTAATTTGGCTCACTTTTACTTGGTCCTTCTTCTCTTTCTTTTCTTCTCTTTCTTCTTTCTTTCTTTCTTTCTTTCTTTCTCTTTCTCTCGCTTTCTTTCTCTCTCTCTTTTTCTTTTTCTTTCTCTTTTTCTTTTTCTCTTTCTCTCATTCTTAAAATCCATAATCTTTTAGAATCTGGGCATGAGAAAGAAAGGTTTTTCTCCATACAGTAGGGGAGATTCAGTTTGTGAAATTGCTTCTGTAAATCAGACAGATGAGCATTTTTTTCTTTGATTATAAATATCATTATATAATCAGTGACTCTTCAAAATGTGTCCTTTGTTTCTTTGGCGAGGTGGGGGATAGTGAGGTAGGGCAGTGGGGTTTTGTTTCCAGGATATAAACAAACACCCTAACCTGAAGCTCCTTGTGACCAAGTTGGGTTGTTTGGGGTTTCCTTCCCATTAATAGTCCCTATTATCTTTCTTAATCAAAGAAAATGGCCTTTGGGAAAGTCACTGAAACAGTGGAAAGACATAGTGCCTAACTGCAGAGTGGGTAGATGTGACTTCCAGCATGAGGGACACCTTCAGTGAGGCCCTTTCTCCTGCCTCTGTTCCTAACAATAAAGGAAGCAATCTAGCAGGGCTGTGTGGGAAGAACACCCTCCTCTAAGTACCAGTCCAGTGGCCATCATGTGTTCTTCTTTGCCCCAACTGTTCATTCGTGACTAGAGAGTGAGCTAGTTATGTCTATATAATTATGAACTAATTATATTCTTATGTATCACTTTTCTTTCTCTTAAGATTCGTAGAAGATAAAATGTGGGTAACATTTTTGGAGGGAAGCTCTGCCTTGAATGTTCTGAGCCTAAATGGTAAAGAGGTAAGATAGATTTGGTAATTCTAAACCATTTGAAATATGTCTGAAGATTTTATTTTTACAGACATGCAAATTGACTATCTAAATGTATTTTTTTCAGTTAAGGAAAACAGAAGACTGAACTGTGTGAAGGTTAAGGTTATTTAATATTTTTATTTAGTTGACCCTTTTATTAGTTTTCTGCCTAATGTAAGGTTTTTTTACTTTTCCCTTAAGAGATATTAACCATTGACAGAAACGAAAAGGAAAACATGTTCCTGCCTAATTTGATTTCTATAATATTTATGCAAATAATATTTATGCAAAATATTATAACATTTAAAATGAGAGTAGATATTCCAGCTCCTCTACATTGTTATCAAGTGTAGAACATGCTTTATTTCCAAGAGCACAGGGCAGAAGGAACAAAAGGCCCTCCTCATTCCCAGGGAGTTACCTCCCAGGTGGCTAAGGGAAGCCTTTGGTGTCAGGTGCCCTGTTTCAGCATGGATACATAATTTCCACAGAGAGCAAACATACTGCATTGCAGCATTTTCAGATTTAACCATTGGGGATGTTTCCAGTCTGTGATTTGAAATGTCACTGGTAGGGAACTTTCACTGCTGACCTGGAGTAATATTTCTTTCTGTGAAATGCTGCTTCTGTCAGTTTTTATGAATCTGTTTTTCTTTTCTAGCTAAATCCTACATTGCTAAGTATATGATCTGTAGACAAAAGTAGACTGAATTCTAGGTTCCATTTCTCCAACAGTGAGCAACTCTGTCAGGACAGCCTTTCTTGTCATTTCACCTTTGCTTCCTTGAAAAAAAAAATTGTTTTTTCATGTGTGTATTGCTTGAGCTTTGTTTGAATGCAGTACTAATATATTCATATCAAAATGAATCAGAAAAAGCAAAAAATGTCAGATAATATTTAGTTGACCCTTTTGGAAGTTACACATTTCTAAACCTCTAATGTATTGCCTTTAATTAATTTAACCCTAAGCTTTTCAGGAATTATCCCATTTCAGAGAAAAATATGAAACATCTAGGCATGGTAACACTCACCTGTGATGCCAGCTCTTGGGAGGCTGAGGCAGGGGCCTCACTGTGAACTGTAGGTCAGCCTAGGCTACACAGTAAGACTGTGTTTAAAAATAAACAGAAACAAAACAAATACACACACACAGATTTTTTAAAGTGTTTTTTTTTAAAATATATTTGGTAAATATAAATCTGTGCAATACATAGGAAAATGATGAATTGATTTTAATACTTGGGCCTGATAAGCAAGTAAGGGATTTAAGAACCTGATGTCAAAAAGTTCAGTTGCTGTTAGACAAGCCGTTCAAGTGAGGAGCTTCTGACCTCTGTGCCTTCAGGGAGTCTTGAGAGCAATAATACTTTGAGCTTTGGAATCTACTCACAGAATCGCCAACTGTGTATTGACCATAGCTACACAGGTCATTTATAAATATTTCCTTCTGAGGAACTCTTCAAATAAAAGAAAGTTGAAACTGTATGAAGGAGCTTGTAACTAGGAAGCTGTTCCGTTGTATGTTTTGGATTTTAAGTGAGAGCTTTTCTTGTATATCATCTCCATGTCCTTGACGAACAATCTTATAACCAACAACAAATTTTTTGAAGAGTTTAAAAAAATATAACAATGATTTTTAGACAATAAGACTTGATTATAACATGTTGGTGTTTTATTAAATCATAATTAGATAGAAGTGTATTAAAATGTATAAATGTATTTTAAACATAAAGCACAAGCCAAGGCCGTGCTTTATGTGCTTTACATGTTGCAGCCATTCTAGTTCAAAAACAGTTAATTTTTGTAGACGATTCAAAATAATCTTCACACAACATTCTCCCAACATTTGAAATGCTAAAGCCATAAGTTAGCACATAGCATACAGTGGGGCAGTTCTCAGGGCCATTATGCCAAGGGAGAGAGGACCAGACAAGAGCAAGTACATGCGTGAGGCCTTCTGTCTCCTCTATGGTTGTTTCAGTGTAGGAACAGGTATTTAATGTATGGATCCAAACCAAAATCACATACCAGATTATCAGTGCTTTGTATTTGGTCAGGAAGAGATACTGGCTAGAGTAAAGGAATAATCCTAACCACTTTTATTTGGCATCATAAGTTCTAACCTGCACATGGGAAATTTTTAGTATATGTGGAAGATTTTATTTTGACTAGAATTAAACTGTTGGTGCCACTGCATAGTGTAACATAGGCACCCTTCCCCCACAATAGTTTTCATGTTAATAAATTTTTCTTCTGTATCTTTTTTTTTAATCAACTAGTTATTAAATCGGACTATAACAATTACTTTAAAAAGTCCAGACTGGATTAAAAATTTGGAAGAAGAGATGAGTTTAGAGAAAATCAGTGTCACGTTGCCCTCGTCAACAAGCTCCACCCTGCTTGGTGAAGACGCAGAGGTTGCAGCAGACTTTGACATGGAAGGTTTGTATGTTGAGCAGTTGTATTCTGCATTCTAGAAAAGTTTGTCTCAGCACCAACAACTTAGAATCCCACGTTCTCTCTCTCCTGGAACACAGTACTAATAATGGTTTGTTTCATAGAGTATGTTTATCGATTACATGACACTTGGTAATTTATGTGCTATTTTGTCATTATAGTAAATTCATTTGCATATTTTAGTTTATATTATATGATAAAAACACAGATTGGTATTTTGAGTGTGCCAGTTTGTGCTTATAATTATAGTTAAGTTCCAAATGATTCTTCTTACTGCCAAAATGAGTTTATAATAATTACAAAAGAAGATATGTTCCAAGGGAAATTTGAAAGAGTCCTAGTGGCTAGCAACACATTAATATGGAACTGAACCCATGTATATAAATAGCTACTTCAATTGAAATTTTGGGGCAAATTGTCTGAGAATTGTAGTTTTCTTAAACATTATTTGAAAGTACATTTGCTTCCTAATGTTTTATATGTGAGCATAGTTTCGCTAAGATATAGCTCTGTGATAAAGTGAATGTTTAGTGTGTCTAAGGCCCTGGGTTCTATCACCAGCTTTCCCAGAAATGAATACCTGACTCTGCACTGCTAGATAGCACATTTAAGTTAAGTGTCTTTTAGGATAATCACTAGCTTTTATATTGGTCATTTGCTTGATCCACACTATTGTACTTTTTGTGTCCTAGGTTGTTGGTTCCTGTCCTTTCTAGTTTTGACCATATCCCTGACAGAAACAAGTTACAGACAGGATTTCTTTTGTGGGGTGGGGGAGTTCATGGTTCCAGAGGTTCAGTCCTTGTTGATTGGTCCATATACTTGGAGGAACCTTATGGAGGTGGAACAGATGGGGGAAGCTGGGCTTAGCAGACAAGAGACAAAGAAGAATGGAAAGTGTGTAAGAGGAGGCCAGGGCAGAAGTAGACCCCAGAGACAAACTCCTACTGACCTAGTTCCTCCCACTAGGTCTACATTCTACTTTTTACCACTTTGCAATACTGTCATTACCTCATGCATTCACTGGGGTGTTAGTCAATTCATTGTGTCAGAGTTCTCATTGACTTAATCACCTCTGGGTGCTCTCACAAACACTTCCAGAAATGGGCTCCACTGAACTAGCTGTGGAGGCCATCAGGTTAAATAAAAATTAACCATCGTAGAGGTGCATGCAGGCGCTGCAAATTCTATGACCATGATCTTTTTTGGTTCCTTCTAGAACTCACTCTTTTTTTTATTAATATTTTTATTTTTAAATAATTTTATACATTCACTTGTATCCCAGCTGAAGCCCACTCCCTCTTTCCTGTAGCCCACTCCCTCTTTCCCTCCCAATCCTCCCCTCCCTCCCTCATCTCCTCCCTGCCCCCTTCCGAGTCCACTGAGAGGGGGTGTCCTCCTCTCCTTCCATCTGGCCCTAGCTTATCAGGTATCTTCAGGATGGTTGCAATGTCCTTATCTGTTTAGCCCCTTGATTTAAAAAACAAAACAAAACTACAAACTTTCCCATGGACAATCACAGTAAGGAATATCACAGTAACGAATAGTTGGGCAATAGTCCATGGGAAAGTTTGTAGTTTTGTTTTGTTTTGTTTTGTTTTTTTAAATCAAGGGGCTAAAGAGATGGCTCAGTGGTTAAGAGTACTGGCTGCTCTTGTAGAGTACCTAGATTTGGTTCTCAATACCCACATGGTGAATCTGTAACTCCAGTTTCAGGGCATCTAACACCCTCTTCTGGCCTTTTCAGTCACTGAATTCTTGTTATACACACACACACACACACACACACACACACACACACACACACACACACACATATGCAAACAAAATACTCATACACATAAAAACTATATAAAGAAAACTTTTTTTAAAATGAAAAACCAGGAAGAAATGGTCCAGGATATCTCATATCTCAGAAAGATGAGGGAAGAAATGTGGACAGAAACTTGTCTGATTTAGGAGCAGTGAGGGGGCTGTTCGTGACCTTTGTAAGAATAATTTTGGGTAAAGCCAGATGGTGAAAATTGCTATGGGTGGAAGGTGGAAAAAGTAGGGGGCAGAACAGTTACTTTTAAATGGGGAGAGCCGAAAGTGCTTGGTGCTGCTTGAAAGGGACTGGTCCAGAAGAGGAGGCTGATGCTGTGAAAGGGCTGGTGGAATGACAGTAAGGTCTCTGAAGACAAAGTGGCATGTGCTGGACCTCATCCGTCTACCCAGTCATGCATTGCCACAGCATTAGCTGTGTGGTGAGAAAGCAACTTGCAGGAGGTCATGTAAGCTGAGGGTACACTGTCCATAGAGTGGAAGTGGCCCTGTCAGTGGGGACAGTACTGAGCTGTTGAGATTGTTCTACATGCCGCCCATAGGACATCTGCAGTGCAGAAAGGTGGTAGGCTTACTTACCATTGTGCTCTCTGTTTAGTCTGAGAAACTGACTAGTCAGTGTTCCAGTCGCTGGAAGGATGGAGGGTGGATATTTCTGAAATAGGTGGGATAAAGGGTGTCTCTTAGACTCCTGGTGACATAGCCTTCAGAAAAAGGGACTTGAAAGGAAGACTAATGTTCTGGTTTGTGAATCCTGTTGCCTGGGGTGCCCTGACCCTACTTTCCAACTCTTAGACAAGTGGAGACGAGACCTGATCAGAGAAATGGATCTATGTTGGGTGAAAAGGCTTGAAGTGGGAGACTTCTGGCTAAGTGTGATACCCAAAACCTTGTTTACTGTGAGGTTGTAAGGTTACTGAGAGTTTCCGGTCAGCCCAGCTCCAAGTGCAGCTGCAGCTAATGGATAGACATCTTTATGTTGTCTGTAAGGGCATTTGCACTGACTCTAATTTTTATATTTACAAATAGTTTATATATATATATATTTACAAATAGTTTTACATGTCCTTGTGCTTATTTCCTATGTGTTGGGATTGCCTTAACATTTAAGTTGTCTTTTAACTTTTAGCCCAGCAGAGCCTATTGTGAAAGTTATTAAAAAGTGCTGTCTTTGGTGCCTTGCTCTTGTTAGGTGATGTCGATGACTACAGTGTTGAAGTAGAGGAGCTTCTTCCTCAGCATCTACAGCCATCCACAAGTTCTGGCCTTGGCACTTCTCCAAGCTCTTCACCCCGGACCAGTCCCTGCCAGTCACCTACAGTTCCCGAGTACTGTGCACCCTCTCTTCCCATCAGACCCAGCCGAGCGCCAGCAAGAACTCCAGGGCCTCTGAATTCACAGAGTGTGTATCTTACTTGAAGTTTTTGTATGATTTTGTCTAGCCAGTTTGTTTGAACTTTGGATAACTATTATGTCCTAGTTTGTTTTCTGTTGTGATAAAAACACGAGCTGCCTGCTCGTATGTCAGCTAAGCCACAAACTATAGTCATCTGAAATGAGGGGACCTTAATGGAAAAAAAAAAAATGCTTCCATAAGACCCAGCTGTAGGTAATTTTGTTAATTAGTGATCAGTGCAGGAGGGCCCAGATCATTGTGGGTGGTGCCATCCCTCGGCTGCTGGTCCTGGGTTCTATAAGAAAGCAGGCTGAGCAAGCCAGTAAGCAGCACCCTCCATGGCCTCCACATCGGCTCCTGCCTCCAGGATCTTGCCCTGTTGGAGTTCTTGCCCTGACATCCTTCAGTGATGAACAGCGATATGGCAGTATAAGCCAAGTAAACCCTTTCCTCCCCAACTTGCTTTTTGGTCATGGTGTTTTGTCGCAGTGACAGAAACACTAATACACTGGCCAAAACCAGCTTTGGGAAGAAAGGGTTTATTTGGCTTACAGGTACCAGTACATCAAGCCAAAACAGGAGCTCTAGGCAAGACTGGAGGCAGGAGCTGATGCAGAAGTCACGAAGGATTATTGTTTCCTGGCTTGTTCCCCATGGCTAGCTCAGCCTGCTTTCCCATTCCACCTGGACCACCTGCCCAAGGGTAGTTCCTCCCACAATGGTCTGGGCCTTCCCACATCAATCATTAATCAGGGAAATTGGCCTGCAGACCAATCTGACACAGGCAATCCATCAGCTGAGGTTCCTTTTTCCTCTAGTGACTCTAACTTGAATCAAGTTGACCAGAACTAACCAGTACATGTTGTTTAGCTTCTTAGCCCATGTACAGTGCCCTGTAGACAGGAGCTGGATTTCTGCACAGGAACTCTTAATGGAGCAGAAGCTCATCACTGCTGCTGCCTCATGAGTTTGTCTCAGTCTTATTTGTGTGGTTAGAATTGTCTGTTTCACAACCCAGGATTTTCTGTTGTCTGATGAGAATACTGACTATTTGGGCTTTTTCCCTTTTCTCTGCTGGCCAGCAAGTTGTATATGACTTAACTCCAGCAGTAAATTTTGTCCCTTAATAGTCCTCCTCAGTAAGTCAGCTTTCAGCACCTCAGCCAGGTAAGAGGTCAGAGGGCAGGTTCCATAGTAGACTGCTGTTCTATTAAGAGGAAAAAATGGAGTCGTTATTTGTTATACAGGCATGTTCCTTCTCACGAGCATCCAGTTGGCACCTAGTCTTACCTATGCACTTTCTTAGGTTCGCCAGTGGACCCTCAGACAGCAGCCCAGAAGGATTCTTCCCAGACCTTAGAGCCCAAGAGGCCACCCCCTCCCCGCCCAGTTGCTCCTCCAGCACGTCCTGCCCCACCGCAGAGACCACCTCCACCTTCAGGTAACCCGCTACTCTTACGATGTCTGCTAACTTAATCCTCCTCTGCATCACCTTAAAAGCATCGTGTGTGCTTTCATGATGCTAGCCTCTGGACTTCATGTGTTTGTGTGACCATTATTGTTACTTCTTCAGCTTTTCTGAAAGGGATTCTGAGGAGCAACAGGGCAATGTGTCTATCAAGCACAAGTCGGGTTGTCTCTGCCTGTGCAGGAGATGCTCGTTTGGGCTTTGCTAATTTGATATAGTTGGGCATGTATGATGTTATTGGGTAACACTAGGTTTAATTTTTTTTTTTTAATTCTTCATCTGTGGTTTTAATATAGACAATTAACATTAATTTCTGGAAATTTTATTTTAGAACTGAAGAGCATACATATTTTTAATATGTTTTACATACCTCTTTAAATGTTCTCTTAGCTAGATACAATGTTCATTTCTTGTGAGCGTATGCATTGAATACTTGTATGTAATGTCTAGCTATTTACATGATATGTGCTTTCATGATTATTAGAGTATTATCTTGACATTTCAACTCTTTAATGTCATTTCCTTTCTGCTGCCTAATTTCTTATGAACTGTAAGGGGCTAGGAGTCCTGCACCTGCTAGAAAAGAATTTGGAGGTAACCATTTATGTTTGCTATCCTGTGTGAATGCTGGTTTATCAGTGCTTTGCAGTTTGAACCCTATAACTCAGAAACAGTTTAAGTATGTTTGGTAAGCATCAAAATATATGACATTTATACTCCATGTTAAAAGAGCTCCAAACTTCCAAATTCTTGTTAGCATACTAGAGCTTAGTTTACCTGTGAGTATAACTAATAAGCTATATCTTATTTTGCATTTTGAATAAATCATCAAATTCTTGCCTCATTTGTTTTATGTAAAACTACAGTTTTCTTATTTTCAATGAGATAATTTTTATTCACTATTGGATGCTTGTATGTAAAGTAATTTATTTGGTTCTGAAAGTAACACTGGGAATATGCTTACTGGACACATTCAAGTGTGCTTACCTGACATGTGCATGCCATGGATTTAATCCTCAGCACTTACACACACACACACACACACACACACACACACACACACAAGCACGCACGCACGCACGAACAAAGCGAAGCTGGCAGCTCAGTCTGCACTGTTTATTGCTGAGTACATTTAGTCTAAGGCTCAAGAGAAGATGGAGATTGCACCAGTTCGTCAAAGAGCTTGAGCAACTCCAACATTACTTTTCCTAAGCCCCTGGCCACAGAGTCATGTGTCCTAGCTGCTTGTCATGGTAGATGCCTGAGATTCAGGGCCAGAATGGCAACTAATCCTGCTTAGGTGAAAATTAAGGATAGCTAAATTGTTTGAACAGTGTAGTATCTATGAAACATTTTCATTTATCTGTTTATTTTTAGGGTGAATTCTACTTCTTTAGAAAACAATATGTAGTAAATAAATTTTGAAATGAAAACTTGTATCATATTAGCAAACCAGCAGCTTATTTAAAAATCTGTTTCCACTTTAAAATGCTTCTCTTCATAATTCCTCTCCAACCTATCTTATTCTGCAGCCATTAGTCCTCTGAGACAGTAAGCTTAGAGAGTACATCAAAAGCAGACTTCTAAGAGACCATTGTTGGGGCTGGAGAGATGGCTCAGAGGTTAAGAGCACTGGCTGTTATTCCAAAGATCCTGAGTTCAATCCCCAGCAACCACCTGGTGGCTCTCAACCATCTATGATGAGATCTGGTGCCCTCTTCTGGCCTGCAGGCACACATGCAGGCAGAATACTGTATAAATAATAAATAAATAAATTTAAATAATAAATAAATTTTTAAAAAAAGAAATCAGTGTCTTTTCATAGAAATTTAAGGTGGAATTGAAACTTCATGTATGATTATTTTCCTTTTTGACTATCAACTAATGTATTACTAGTCTAGATATAAGAAATGAGGAGATCATAAAGTTTTGTGTTAGACTATAGTTTTGGTTTCTTCCTGCTGGTGATTTCAGATAAAAGTGAAGCTGTGACCCCGCTTCTGTTCTTAGATTTGTGAGGAAAGAAAGGGTCAGTTTTGAGCTAGTCACTTTGGTTAGATTGATAACTTCCAAAAGATTTAAAGCAATAAAAGACCCTTAATGCAGGAATAATTGTGTGCCTGTATTCCATCTTCTCCTCTGGGATCTGAACAATATATAGCTTTTGTTCTTTCTCTAAAAAGGTGTTGGAGCCCCTCCCAGTCCTGGGGTAGCTAGGAGAGAGATGGAAGGTAACAGATTTCTGCATTGTAGATATGGTTTGTGTTGTAAATGTCAGCCCCTCCAGTGTCTAAAGGTACACTGAGTCCTGCCAGAAGCACCCCTCCTTCTCCCTATATATTTTACTCTTTTCTTTCTGTGTTGTATATATAGTTTCCAATGGCTATCCGATTAACATTCCTGAAGTTCCTATGTTGTTCATACCTCGTCCTGTGTACTCAGGCTATGAAATTACTGTTGAAAGAAGAATGCCTTCATTTTATTTTTTTTAATAAGTCCCATGTTTAGCAATGTTCTTGATTAACCTGAAGTTTTATAAATTAGTAACTGTAACGTCCTAGAGTCTAGTATTTTAAGATGATTTTTTTAAATAAAAAAATATTTCTAAATATTTGGTATTAGGCTACATTTCCTTAAAAGACCATTTTAAAACTGTAATTATTTATGGATTTGTTGTATTTAATATAACCATTGTACTTGAATTTCTTAAAATGGAAAGTCTAAGATAATGCTTGATAGTGTATTTACTCTCTCGGTCCCCCAGAGTAATTTCCCTTCATGTTTAGGCTACCTTCCTAATGAGTTTGAACCATAATGTAACACTGCATATAAGTATATGTACACCTGCCTTCTGTCTTGATCCTAATGGCCTATTGTAGAAATCCCAAAGACCTCACCCTAGCATGACCTCTAGTTTGACAGGCAAAGCTACTAGGAGCTGTAGCTGTAGCTGTAGCTCAGGAGCCATTTGTCTGCCCAGCTGAAAGGAACAGCTAACCAGGTTCAAGGTTCATGGCAGAGGTCTGTAAGGAGTGTCACCGTGGTTTGACTCCCTTCGTCTTCCATGCAGGCTCTAATACCCCAGTCTCTGTCTTTCTCCATGGCTCAGTGCTTGTTGTGTTGCTGTCTCACGCCTCTGTCTCTATTGGCAATAAACAGAGCAATCGGGTGATGCCACGGACTGTTGTTTTACTGTTTACTTGATTGATTGTTTTTTCCTTTCTGCTTCAAAGCGCCCAAAAGCCCAGGAACAACACGGAAAGATAATATAGGTAAAAACACTTGAATGTAGTTACTTTCCCTTAAAACTGGACTATGCAATAGACACTTGGAATAGAAGTACATGGTTTCTTATTTGTTTTTACTTTAAAAAAAAAAACTTTCTTATTATGGTTAAATGCACAATGTGATATCTTTGTTTCAGGGCGTAACCAGCCTTCCCCTCAAGCAGGACTTGCAGGCCCAGGACCTGCTGGATATGGTACAGCCAGACCGGTAGGTAACACCTAGCCTGGGAGTTGAGAGGTGTTTGTTGTAGGTTCCAATATGCAGCTAGTCTATTTTTTACCTTTGAGAGGAATCAGGGAAACTTCCCAGGCTTCAGTTCTGCAACTCTAAAATGAGGAAACTAGTAATCTCCAAGCTACATCTTAACTCTAACCTTTCACATGCCTCCAAATGACACTAACTTTTCTGGATAACAATAATGTATATAATTATATATGAGGAGGTAATGTAGTTGGATAGCTGTTTATCAGGTAACCTATTTAATCATGGACATATAAGGTTATCCTTCCAGCCAGGAGTGATAGCATACAACTTTAATCCCAGCACTCTGAGGCAAGGGCAAGTGGATCTCTGTGAGACTGAGGCCAGCATGGTCTACCTAGTAAGTTCCAGGACAGTTAGGACTATGTAGAGACCCTGTTTGCCCCCCTCCCCCAAAAAAGTATTATTGTTTTTGTTTGGTTGGTTTGGTTTTTTGAGACAAGGTTTCTCTGTGTAGCCTTGGCTGTTCTGGACTCACTTGGAGACCAGGCTTATCACCAACTCACAGAGATCCACCTGCCTCTGCCTCCCTGAGTGCTAGGAATACAGGCATGTGCCACCATGCCCTGTTATAAAAGTTATTTTTTTTAAGAAGGACTTTAATTGACATAAAATTATAATAGAATACTTAGCCTTTAATCCCAGTATTTGGAATTAAAGTTCAAGGCTAGCCTGGCCTGCAGGAAAGCCAGGGCAACACACAAAGAAACCCTGTCTCAAAGAGAGATGGGCATGGGAAGGAGAGGGAGAGAGAAAGAGAGAGAGAATACTTAAATTGGTTCTAACGATATTAAAAATAAGAGGGCTGACGGCTTGCAAGATTTTTTTCCATACTTTATAAATCTATGGCTTTCTGTGTATTTATTTTTATCATGTGTTGTTATATACATACATTTTCCATTATTCGCTCAAAATTTCTCTGTACTTTAACAGATACTCAGAAAGAAAAAGATAAGGCCATAGGGATGGCTTGGTGGGTAAACGCTTGCTATGCAAGCCTGATGGTCTGTACTCTATCCTCATCTAATGATGGCAGGAGAGAACGGACTCAGTGGGGTTTCCTATGGCATCACACATGTGCCATGGCATAAATGCCTGCATATACACAAACACTTAGAAAGAAGGAAAAAACATAACTTAGGGCAATATAGTAGATACTACATCTGAGTAGTGGAGGACCTAGAGCTACTTTAAAAAAAAAAGTCCTTTTCTATGTCTAATTCTACTCTTTAAATTAAAATGTCTATTAAATATACCTCAAGATATATGTTACACTCTCTGTTTCATAAGAAGGGAAGTCTGCCATATACTGCCTCTACCACACTCCCCACTGCACCTTGATAATGTAGGGATAGGTTCTTTGTGCAGTTAAAAGTTTTCTTAACAGCAGGCCTGATATCTTACATCTACATCCCAGCATTTAGGTGGCTGAGGCTGGGAAATTGCTGTTGTAGGTCCAAAGCCACTGTAGTCTACATAATGAGTTCCAGAGCAGCCTGGGACCACAGAGTGAGACCTTAGCTCAAAAAACAAAACAAAACAAACATCCTAACTTTGTCTTTAAGTATTATGATGTAAAAATAGTGAATTATAAAAAAATAAATTTAAATGAAAAAATAAGCATTATGAGCTTAGAGCCTTCAGCAAACATGAAAATAGAAAACATTCTTTTTTTTAATAATTTGTTTTTATTTTATGTGCATTGGTATTTTGCCTGCATTCATCTGTGTAAGGGACTCAGATCCCCAATTCTGAACTGCCATGTGGGTGCTGGGAGTCAAACCTTGTTCTCTGGAAGTACAGCCAGTGCTCTTAACCCTCTCCAACCACTAGAAAACTTTTTTTTTTTTCACTTATGTGTCTTCTAGCATATTTAAGATATTTAGTTAGACATTTAAGAATGTTATTTCATGGTTAAAAGAATGGAGGAGAGGTTGATTCTGAAGTCTTTTAGTATCTAAGGGTCATCTACCATCATTTATGCTTGCAGAGCATCTCATCTCCTCATAAGGCAGTACTGCTCGAGATCAGGTCCCTTGCCTTCCTGCAGCTAGCCAGGCATGAATTTATGTCCTAACACTACATCCTCTGTATGCATGTGTTCACTTTAAGATATAGATGACAAAATCATATATGAAGTTATTTTGAAGGTTAAATAAAAATTCCTGTATCATACTTACAAGTGCCTGATATATAGTATAGTATCAAATATAACAAGGAATGTGTCATTGTTTAGCTATAAATAGAAAACAATTAAAATGTCAAGGTTGAGGAGGGGCTGGAGGAATGTCTGGGTTAAGAGCACTATCATGCTCTTCATGCTCTTCCATGAGCACTAGCTGCTCACCCATGTGTTCTTCTCAGCTGTGACCTTTGTGGCAGCTCATGACTGTCTAACTCCAGTTCCAAGGGATCTGCCAGTCTCACACAGACATACATGCAGACAGAACACCAGTACACATAAAATTAAAAAATAAATCATTAAAATGGCAAGGTGGGAAATTATACCAGAGAATCAGTGAGACATGAAAGCATATATTTTTCAACTGTTGAAAATAGATTAATGTCGCAAATATGTTTCCTTCTACAGACAATTCCAGCTCGTGCTGGAGTGATCAGCGCCCCTCAGAGTCAGGCTCGGGTATCTGCCGGAAGGCTGACTCCTGAAAGCCAAAGCAAGCCCCCAGAGGCATCAAAAGGTAGGCCCTGCTAGGAATACTGCTCTCCTCTTACTCTTTTTCTTTGTCCTACCTTTCATAATATCTAACTTACTCAAATGGGAATCTTCTGCCTGGTACCCCTGGAAACAAGGCTGTTTGTCATAGAAAGGGGAAATAACTAGAATACCTCTGCACAGTTCTCTAAAGAAAGAAGCCATGGCTTTTAGAACACAGCTAACATGCAGCAATCCTTGGTGTTTTAGGTTCAGCTGTCCTTCCAGAACCGCTGAAGCCTCAGGCTGCTTTTCCTCTGCAGCCTTCTCTGCCCCCACCTGCTCAAAAGCTGCAGGAGCCTCTTGTCCCCATGGCAGCACCCATGCCTCCCTCTGGCCCCCAGCCAAATTTGGAAACCCCACCACAGCCCCCACCTCGGAGCAGGTCGTCTCAGAGCTTGCCTTCTGACCCCTCACCACAGCTGCAAGTAAGTGCTGAGCAAAGTGTCTGCGCACGTGGATTTCAATGACCAGCGCTTGTGAGCACAAATATGACCCGAAATTTTATTTTGCCACTTGAAAGTAATGGCATCTTGAGATGACTTTGGTGAGTCTCATTTGATGCCTTAAGTGAATTGCATGATAGTGACTATTTGAGGATTTTAAGGGTTTCTTTGTTTCTTATGTGTTGCTTAAGTAAGAAAATTTCAGAGAGCAGCAGGAGTGGTTAGGAGGTGATCCCAGGATAGGAAGCAGAGGCAGGAGGATCACAAGTTAAAGACTAGCCTGGTTTACATGAGTTCCAGGCTAGCCAGGGCTAAACAGTCAAACAGTTCTCAGGTCCTCTGACAGTAGAGCAGGGTTCTTTAGGAATGTCCAAGTAGCAACTCATGTTAATTTGTAACTTTTAAAATACACTGTTTGCTTTAGGCAGTTAATTAAGTAGATGAACAATAAAATTGTTCTCTTACTGCTGAGATGGTAAAGTAGTTTTAGAGATCTGCAAATCACGATCAGCTCCATGTTTAGTGATTGGCATGGTGGCTAACTTCCTGCAGAGAGGTTCCTCAGTGCCTCCTGATTTGAGCAGCAGCTCTTCTCTGGGTGGAGCTGGTGCTGGGTTCCTGCGGTTGCAGTCATTACAGGAGTAGCTTAGAGGTTTGAGCTTCAAGCAGAAGGCAAATTCATTCACACAAAACCACAGACAACCACATCCTTTCATTAGCCTCTCACAGAAAATCATTTCATGGCCCTGACGTGTTGAGGTCATGAGCATTCCTGTTGTCTCACATCAGCAGCACTGCCAGCACTGCTGTGGGTTAGGTAATTGTTTTATACTGAGATAAGTACATATAAGCTAAGTTCTTCTGTATTTACATTCTATCAACTTTAACTCAAGATGATAAATTTAATAAGTACATTTTGCTGGCTCACTGTATATAATTTTTTTTATTTGAAAATGGCATCAAAGCCAAAGCAATGTGTGGTTTTAGAAGTTGGTGATTTAATCTAAAATACTGTGTATTGGCAGTAGCCTTTGAAAGTACTTTGAGTAATAATTTTCATGTTAACATATACTCCGTTGCAAAGCAGATACTAAGGTAGCTAAGACTCAAGTCATTAGAAGCCGGTACTTGTGTAGGCTATTGCTCACATTTGTGAAAGATAAAAAAGCAATAGAAAAAAAAAAATGTTCTCAGATGATGAATGCTAAAAGTTATTCTACTTTTTTTAGGGTAAAGTAGGGGCGCTAAAGATATTTATTAGAAATCGTACAAAAATAAATGTACTATTTTTTCCTCTTCATCCAACTTTGAAGATTTACCTAATATTTTTTGTTCTACTTTTTAAAAAATTAGTTGGAAGGATGAAATCTTTCAAACTAGTCAATTTGAATACTATCAACACTGTTTTAAGGCATCCATTCCAGAAGAGAAGCACACCTGACCTCCACCCACTTTGTAATGGCTTTAAGTATCCAGAGACAGTGTGAAGGCAGAACAGGGCTCTGCTATGAAAACTTGAGCAATAGCGGATGACTGGCGTAACTGCAGGCTCAGGGACAAGTGTCCTGCAGCACAGCACTGCAGTTGGACCATGTAGATGACAAGCAGCCATTTTCTCTGGTCATTTCCATTGTTTGTCTTGGTTTCTCACTGCAGTGAGCTTGTAACATTTGGTGGCCAATAGCAGAGTTTACAGTGTCATGGTACACTATCTGTGTGTATTCATGATCTGTGACCATGTGTGCATGTGCATGAGGAGACCAGTACTCACCCTCAGATATTGTTCCGCAGATGCCATCCACCTTGAGGCCCATGGGCCGTGAGTAGGTGTGTCTGGCTGCACTGAGCTGCAAGGACCCACCTGTGCTGAGGTTAGAGGCACACACCATCAGGCCAGGGTTTACATGTGCAGGGAACTGAATCGGGTTCTCGTGCTTGCATGGAAGCACTCTCTAGACTACGCTGCACCTTTTGACTTTGTAATCATAAGAGTAATGTTACTTAAAAAAATGGTACAATTCTGAAAAAAAATCTCTTAAGGAGCTGTACATTTAATAATGAGATTTTCATATATACTGAGTATGTATATGAAATTTATACACATACATACTGCTGGTGAGAATTTTAATTGTGACAAGTTTTATTGTTATTATTGAGTTATTATTTTGTTTAGTATTACATTATTTAAGAATTGAATATTTGGTAATTTTCACAAGTCTTTATTGATCCAGGCCTACCACATATCCGAAGCATAGAGTCCCATGAGCCGGCTTAACTGTTTTGCCTGCTGCTCTCTGGCTCTAGAATATGCTGTAGACCCTGTGCACGGTGTAACAGTGCTCACTGGTCTGACTTCTAGCATCTTACTTGTCTTGCTATGAGCTAAAATCTAGAAAGAGGGAAACGAAACAGCACAGTGACAGACCCCCACCAGGGCGCCGTACGAAAGCTGACAGGGAGGGAAGGACCTGTCAGGAGTCTGCATCTGAGGTTCATTTCAGAGCATCATACAGGGGCAGGACACACACGTGCATCCTGTGTCATTAAATGAGAGTGACTCACGTTACAGATCATCATGCTGATGTTGAATGTCAGTGGTATGACCCTGGCCACATATGCTTATCACTTCTTGGGCCATCCCCAACACTGGGAGAAAAGGGAGGAGGAGGGATAAGGGAGGTGAGAGATGCTAAGGTATGTGATGGATTTAGGACGGCATCTCTAGGCTGTCAAATACTGTTTACTACTTACACATTCATTTTACTGTTTACAAATTACTGTTTACAAATAAGCTTCAGTGTTAGAAGGTTCAATTCCTTAAGGATACCAGATTATTTTAAATACAGCCAAATTGTTGAAAGATGATTTAAGAGTTAAGCAGCAAAAATTAGTTTCTTGCCTTGGTGTACCTTCCAGCTAATAAAGAATAAGGGAAATAATTTCTAAATCCTTTAAAAAATGTGAGTAACATAGAGCAAGCCTGGATCCTTATATTCTGTTATGGTGAATGTGCGGTTATACTTCTGTAAAGTGGTATTATGTACAATTTCTTTATTAAGGAGGCCCTCGGGGTCTGAAATACGGAATAATGCAACTTAGACACTGTTAAAGTGCACATCATAATAAGGTTATAAAGAGACCAGAACTGTATTTTAACTGATAGTATCACCTGCAAGCGTTGCTGCCCTTGAGCCCAAATGTGACCTAGTGCCACAACGCTTTCTGAGGACTGCATGGCTGGGGCTGCAGCTTGGTCTGGAACTGTCCTAACTCTTTCCTTTGATCTCTGTGTTCCTCTTCTCACAGCAGGAGCAGCCGTCAGGGTAACAGGTACCTGGCTATTTATCACCTTACATGTGCTCCCATCTGTCTCCCAGCGCATCAGATGTCTGAGGCTTCTGCTTCAAACATCTGAAGTCTCACCCACTTTTAAATCAACTTGTCCACATTAATGAATTGTAGTGCCATATCGTACACTCATACCTGCTTTTTCTTTTTCTTAGTATTTTGGATTTTAGGAACCATTTTAGTTCTTGCTAATGCTTTACCATATTTTTTTTGCTTTGTTTTCTATGAAAATTAACAAAACTAAAAAGTATAATTTCAAAAAAGCAAACTATTTGTATGTAATATAACTACATAAATGCAAAATCCAATTGTTTTTTCCTTACGTTTCTTTTGGGAAATATTTTTTTCAGATAATTTCAGAAGCCAGATTCTTTTTGGTAAGAAAGAATGGGTAATTTAGATTACAATTCAAAGCCTTTCCAACACCTTTCTCTGTAAATCACCTCTGATGTCATCATTACTTTCCAAATCCTGCTTAGACCACAAGTTCATGCTAATGTGATGATGGTGGTGATTGCTGTAATTGCTGGCCCGGCTTCATCGGCTTCATCTGAGCCCTGTTCCGTGGCTCAGTTAACCAGCTCCTTAGGGAAGGATTCAGGGAGGAGTGCAGATTGTTTATGGCCATGAAGTTAACTCTGAACACTCCTCCTATGGGAATCAAAGCACAGCCTCTTTATTTTAGAATTTTAGTCAGTGCTCATAGAAAATGGAATATTCATTGCTTTTATCTCTCTTGTCAGGATGAGGAAGGCCAGTTAAGGACATTCATATTACCTAATGATTAAACTGCAAAGGCAAACTATCATTAAAAAACAAAAGAAACCTTTGAAAGTTCACTTTCTTTACAGCTTTGAACTTAAGAATATATTAATAAGTTGACTTTCATTCATAAAATTGAATTTCTTTAGGGAATTTAGATTAAGGCATATCCTCATAGATGGGTGTTGGAAGTTTCTATATATTTAGCAAATGCTTTTAGCATGAAAATTTCTTAAGTTTGTGTTAAAATTTTAAAGAACAGAGCATGAACAAATTCTTCATTTTGTATAATTCTTTTTATCATTTCAAAAACTGAATGAAATTATTCCATCACATTTCTTTAAAACTTAAAGAACATGGATTTATTTAGTTATGAATTCTTAAAGAACCTAATGTTACCTATTTCACCCTATTTATTAAAACACCAAAGTAAAAATCTGTAGTTACTTTTTAGTTCCTAAATTCACCAACGTAAAAATCTGTAGTTACTTTTTAGTTCCTGAATTTGTATAGTTGCTCAAGAAAATGAGAAATAATTTTTGAAAAGGGACTATTAATAAATAAAAAATGATCCTCCAGTGTTCATTCTTTTCTAGGTAAAAACAAATGGAGTTTCTGGTATCAAACAAGAACCAGCGTTGAAGAATGACCCATTTGAAGATCTCTCACTTAATCTGCTTGCTGTATCAAAGGCTCAGCTGTCTGTTCAGATGTCACCTGTCCTAACCCCAGACACAAAGATGTTGATTCAGTTGCCTTCTGCATCGCAAAGTAAAGTTACCTCTTTGAGTTCTGTAAGTTGCATGCCAACCATGCCTCCAGTTCCAGCGCGAAACAAGTCACAAGAAAATATGGGGAGTTCTGCAAACCCATTTCCCAGCCTGCCCAGCAGGAATCCTTTTACAGACAGGACTGCCACCCCTGGAAACCCATTTAGAGTTCCGTCTCAAGAATCAGAGTCAACGTCTTGGCTATCCAAAGAAGAGCCTGTTCCTAGCAGTCCTTTCCCTCCTCTCATGCCTCTCAGTTGTGACACGAGCAAGCCTTCAAGTTCACTTGGTGGTTTTGAGGACAGTTTTGATCTTCAGAGCCAGTCTGCAGTAAACACAAGCAACCCCAGAGGCTGGGTAACCTTTGACGAAGACGATGGCTTTCCTACAACAGGAAAGTCAAAGTCACTTTATCCAGACTTGCTGGGTAACGCACCAGCTTCATTTGATGAGGACTGGAGTAAAGGTACAGGTGTTTCTTTCTGTGTTTTGCCAGCCAGAAGACCACCGCCACCGCCGCCGCCTGTCCCTCTGCTCCCACCCAGCGCCAGCTCATCTGCAGGACCTTGCACAACCCTGGCATCTAAAGCATCTCCCACATTTGACTTCACAGAAAGATAGTTATGTGATGGGAAGGAAGTTTTTGCTGGTTTGATTTGGCTGTTTGCTTCTGTTTTGTCAGGGTAGAGCCAAGAGACTGGGGCATTAGGTATTCATTATGTGCAATAAATAATCATTAAGTGCACTGATATCTAATCAAGTATCACTAAAGGATGTGGACAAAGCTGGAGCTTATACATCGGAAATAACTGGAGTCTTGGTCTTTCTGTTCTGATGAGTAGAAGAGAGCAGGAGCCATTTAAAAAGTGCTTAAAACTACTTTAGAAAATAGCCTTTACTCAGAAATTCACAAAAAGCCCACACATCTGTAGCTGACAGTACTGCCAGCTCATTGTGGTGTTGACAATTGGTATTCATGGATATTTACCAAAGATCTTCCAGAGTTATGGTGAAACAGGTCTGAAAGGCACTACCTTCAGCAAAAAGGTCTATGTGTGTATACATTATGTGTGCACTTCTGTATGTATGCACACACATATAAATGCATACATTTACACATTTATAAAACTTAAGATATAATTCAGATCAAATTTTACCTCACAGCTCTGACAATGTCCTTTCTTCAACATCTCATTATCAAAAAGATGCTGCCAGCCAGCATGCTTTGGATGCTTCTACTAATTGTACATCCCAAAGTAGAGTAGTCACTTTACAGAACAGACATTTCCTGTTCTTCTCCACCTTACCCTTCACACTCACCCTCACGGTACCTTCTTCCCTGTACCTATATTATGCCTTTCTCTGGGGTTTACGCTTGGCAGTACAGACGTTGTGGTCAGTCATGTGGACACATACGCAAACAGTAGGCACATGCCACCAAGTTCACCGGACAATATTGGAGCTGATGGGCTCTCTTCTCTCTGTGTGGCCCTCTCCCTGCCATACCCTTCTATTGCCGCTTTGCCCTGGAGCTCTGCTTTCAGCAGGGAAGGCAGCTGTGGAGTGCTCTGAATTGGGAACATGACCCATGTGTGTTCTCTCCCATGTCAGAGGTACAGAACACATCTGATGCTGCTTTAAGGTTTAGAGGCTATACCTCAATTTAGCTGTGGATTTTGTCTCCTGCACTGCCAGTATGCAATTGATTTTGCTTTTATTTTGTGAAGTACATGGACTTTTTACAAAAAAAAAAAAATCAAAAAAAAAAAAAAAACAACAACAACAAAAAAACCCCATAGTATTTTGATATCATTAAGTAAGCCAGACAGAAAACTCCCTAAGCTACTATTTGGTTGGTTGTCAGTTGAAGTTAAAATCATCCTTACCATTAAGACTTAATTTTTTTAAATATATAAAAAAGTTATGTGCATACACCGAAGTTCCTCCGTCCACATGAACCTGAAGATGTGTAGTGTGAGATTAGAAAGAATTTATGGCTGCCATCACCTCCTTATAGGACCACAGTAGACTGCGTTGCACTTGTATCGTAGAGCAGAACTGTTAGGACAGAGCACCTTCGCAAATGATCAATGTTATCAAAACACTGTATTTATAGAAGACACCCTCTGCTGCAGCCAGAACTCACTGTTAGCAGTAACACCCGTGAGTTTTATATTGTGCTTGTTGGGGTTCTAACCATTTCAGCAGTAGTAGCTTTTAAACTGCAGTATTACAATAGCAGTGTGCTTCAAAATGTGAATTAACTTGTTGAGATTGTGGCTGTAACATCTGTGTGACTAGTGTGTAAGGTATCTGCTCCCCATTAGCAAGCTAATCCATCTTAGAAAACTGTAGTGCAGATCGTAGCCCTGAGCAGTGTCTCACTTGGTTAAACCACTGGAAGTCTGCAGAGCAGCAGCTCAGCCTGTCAAGAGGTCTGGCCCACTGCTGAAAGGCACAAAGGAAGTTAAAGTTTGCTACAAAGAACTTGAAATTGTGTGTGAGTATTTACCAGCTCTGGTCAAAACAGAGCCAAAAATAGACACTAAGAATCTCTGTGAGTTTCTGTTCTCTATAGTAGATTGCTGTTTATATGTATGTAAGAGTTTTATTGCTTATGTGGCATACAGTATTTATAACTATATACTTTATAGAAGTACAGTATTAAAAGTCAGTGGTATACATTCTGTACATATCCTGTGAAATGTGCTGTTATATGGAATAAACATATCTGTCTTTACCACTAGCTGACTTCTTTCCTCAAAAGAAAGCTCCCTCTTTCTGTAAGTGTTGCAGCTCTGAAGGGAAAGGTACCTTGGCAGTTGTGGAGCCAAGGAATACCACAGAGTCACACAGTACAACAAACCTCACACGAGATTTATTGGGAGGGAAAAACCCAGGAGGTTGACTGCCCCTGCTTGGATGAGAAACAGCAGGAAACTAAGCAGACACAGGCATTATATAGGATTTCTTTGGAGTGGGATGGGGGAGGTGTCCAGAGTGGATTGGTGGGATTTCAAGTCGTAAACTTGGGGGAGCTCAGTGATTGGTGGGATTTTAACTTGTAGGGCAGGGTTTGGCCACTCCTGCTCAGGGCTAGGAAAGACTAGGGTGGACGTCTAGGGGTGAGACCTGACCACTTTTCTCCTTTAAGGGCTTACAGAGTTCACAAAGGGAGTTCATGGTAGGGGAGACTTTGGCCTGCAAGGCTTTCCCTGCTCCTTGAGTTGTCTTTAATATCTGTCTGTCTCCCCCTCCCCCTTCCTTCTTTTTGTGTTGTACATAATACATGCAGGGAATAAGTACTAGTTTATTCTGGAGCTAAATTTGAATGACCATGGAAGATTTAGGTTACCCAAATTCCATGTTCCATCATGGAAGCAGATTTATGAAGTTTTAAGGCTCTATAGAACAAAGCCATAAGTCATGGCAAGTTTAAAATACATTGGTGGAGAAATTTTCCCAGAGACAGTTACAGCAAGATGGAGAATGTGTTTCTATAAGTATCAGGTGTTGATGACATTCTTAACTTTTGGTTGGTGGAAGCTAAGTTTATAGAGGGCAGTGGATGGCTGTCCAGAGCTAAGGACGGACAGGGTAGTCAGTCTCTGTACTCTGCCTCCCCACAGCACGGCAGTTTTAATCAGTTACAGACACAGCTTCTTTAAAGAAATTTTTAACAAGTAAAAAAAGTTAAAGAACCACAAACATAAACCCCCAACATTTAGTCAAACTGAGTTTAAGATCATTTCAAGGCTACATATCACAGTTGTCCTGGTTAATTTTATTGCTGTTTGAATTTCTTCTGTCCGTTTTTGTTTTTTCCTTGTAACACTAAAGTGAAACCATCAAGTGGTCCTCAACTGTGTCTGAATGTCCTGAAGGAACAGCGTCGCGCCTGCTTGACCTTTCTGAGATTGTCGGGGACTAGGCCGAACAATCTAGGGACGGACGGTAGAAAGCAGTTAAACTGAATCTGCTGTGCTCAACGGCAGAGCTCGCCACTTTCACATTACCGTAGAAATGCAGAAGGCATTTCCGGAAGCGATCAGTGCCTGCGTGGAAACAAGTCTGGGCTCCCAGGTGCCTGTGCTCCCACGGTGCCCACCAGCCCACTCATTCTCAACCCAGGAGCCGCCATGCTCCTCCAGCTCACCTCCTGAGTCCCCTGGACAGTCTGCACCCACCTGTAGCTGCTTGTTTTGCGATCCGGTTGCCCGGACAACAGATACTTCCAGTAGCGGCGACCGTGCGTCAAAGCTCGGGCATCCCCGCCTCCTAGATAGCTTGCTCCTCAAAGCCGCCGCCCCCCGTCCGGCGGCTCCAGTGGGACGCTGGAGGCACTTGAGGCCGTGTTTGACTGTTGCTCCCGGCAACAGCCACTTCCGCGAGCGTGCGCCGTTTTCTTTTTCCCCCGGGCGGACGCGCGAGCTAGTGTTCCGAGTTCCGCCTGGGAGCAGCGGTTAGTCTCCGGCCGACCTCTCTCGGGCGTGTAGGCCTTGTGTTCCCTGCCTGCCTCCCGGACGCCCCAGCGGGGCCTTTGGCAGAAGCCATGGTGGTGCTGCACGTGAAGAGAGGCGACGAGAGCCAGTTCTTGCTGCAGGCGCCCGGGAGCTCCGAGCTGGAAGAGCTCACGGCGCAGGTGACCCGCGTCTACAACGGTCGGCTGAAGGTGCAGCGGCTCTGCACAGGTGCGGGCCGGGGACGGGGTGCGGTGGGGAGGGCTCGGGCTTGCGAGGATTTGGGAAGGTTTGCAGTAACGGCGGGGAGCCCGAGTGCGGCCGAGCCGGGATTTGGAGTTCACGGAAAAGGGAAAGAACTGGGTCGAGAGCGTTTGAAGGGAGCTGAAAGATGAGCGGAAGGGGCGTACAGAAGTGAATGAGTGCCCTGTTAGAGACGTTAAGAACCCCAGCCCTTGAGCCTCCGGCCTCGGCCTTGAAACCGCCCATCAAAAGTGAGAGACACTGGGAGAGACTTGGTGTTGTTTTCCGTCTCCTAGGAAACACGTGGGGTTTTTTGTTTTGTTTTGTTTTTTGTTTGTTTGGTTTTTTTTTCAGTATAGAGAACGCCTTAAAATCTGTTATTTTTTTCTTAATTAAACTTAACTGATTTCAAAGCAAGCTCAATATTAAATGTCATCTTAAAAATAAAACATTTAGGGAGGAAAAAACCCAGGGCCTTCTTTAACATCCTAAGTTGAAAGTGTGGTGCAGAATCTAAGAGTTGTGTAGGTGAATTTAAAACCCACGGATATGCTGAACAGTTGCCATTGCCAGCAGGCACTCGTACAGGCAGACACCAGTTCGCTCTACCTTAGGAAGATGGAGGTGAGTCACGCCCACTCCAGCACGTTGTCTTCCAAGTGCTTAGTCTGGAAATGGAGGCTGTAAACATCTCATCCCCTTACACCATTTATTCTGTAGTATTGGATTGTGGCCAGTCACGAGACATCTTCCCAGTACTTCAGGAACACACAGCTCTTAGTGTCTTCCTGTCAGGGAGGGAAGGAAGAAAGGAAGGCATAGCAAGGCTCAAAAGGCAGGTGTAGGGTTGAGCACGTATGAGATAGGAAAAATACGAAAACCATGCTTTTGAATAGTGAACATGAAGTGGATTTTCTCGTTTATGAGGGATAGTTCCATCTTAGGTTTCTATTGCTGCAATAAAACACCAGCAAAATGCAGCCTGGGGAGAAAACGGTTTATTTCAATCATACAGTGTGGTCCATCATGAATGGAAGTCAGGAGAGGAACTCCAGGCAGGCACTGAAGCAGAGACCGTGGAGGATGCTGCTTCCTGGCTTGTTCCTCGTGACTTGCTCAGCCTGCATAGTACTCATTAGTTGAGGAAGTGCCCTAGCTACAGACTTGTTTACACACAGTCTGGGGTAGACATTTTCTCAATTGAGGGTCCTCCTTCCTAGATACGTCTACATTTGTGTCAGGTCGACAAAAGCCAACCAGAACAATTGCCCCCTCATCCGCTTGCCACCAGCACAGTGTTCCTAAGCCAGAATCCTTCCTTTCTTGTTTAGTCCCAAACCTCATTACTGTTACTCTCTCAAAGCAAAACACATTTCAACTTTTACAAGTCCCGAAGGCTTTGTAAAAAGTCACTTTAAAAGTTCAATCTTAGCCGGGCGTCAGAGGCATTCCTGGAGTCAGAGGCAGGCAGCTCTCTGTCTGTTCGAGGCCAGCCTGGTCTACAAAGAGCATTCCCTAACAGCCAGGGGGCTGCTTGAAAAATAAATAAAAATAAAAAATCAGTCTTTTTCAAAGTTCAAGCCTCTTTATAATGTCCACACCTGGGCTCCTGCAAAATCAAAAAACAAGTTAAATACTTTCTTATTCCATGAAGGGGAAATATTAGCACAGTTGCATTCAAATCAAAGCAGAATACAAGTCCAGCCCTGGGAAGCTCAGGGTGAGACGCTCGAGATATTCTAGGCACCACTCTGCTCTGCCATCCAGAACCCACATAGCATGGCTCCTAGGCTGAGGCAGGCTCCACTCTACAGCTGCTGCCATATTTGTTTATCATCCCATGGTGCTGGCTTCCAAAATGCTGGACTGTCCACAGGCTCCACCTCCACCAATGGCACCATTGCCTCCTGGCCTCTCTTCAGAGTCTGTCACCCTGGCCCATGATGCCATGTCCCTGTGTCTCTCCATAATCCCTTCAATCCTGAGGTTTCCCTGAAACTGAAGCTGTGCCTTCAGAATAGCCTCTTCCTGTGCCCAGCCCCCACTGTTCTCCATGACCCCTTCATGCCCTCAAAACTAGTACCCTGTGGTAGTGCACACACACTACTGGGTTTGGCTTCCAGCATGAGCTGCAGCTTCTGCCCCCTTCTGCATCACAGCTTCTGTCTGCTGACCTTGAGAAGTTTTTTCCAGAGATTTTGCCTCAAGGATGTTGGTATTTTCTTATTCACAACTAATTGATCTCTTGGCTCCAACAGGTGTTTCACTTCAGTGGTTCTGGTCTCTGTTAGTCACAGCGATTCCTCAGCTCTGGCTGACCAGAACCATGAATTTGTTTTACAGACAAGGGTTTCTCTGTGTAGCCCTAGCTGTCCTGGAACTCACTCTGTAGACCAGGCTGCCCTCAAACTCAGAGATCTGCCTTCCTTTGCCTCCCGAGTGCTGAGATTAAAGGCTTCACCGTCTTCATTGCTCTCAGCACTATTATCTTCAAGCTCCCATAACAGCCCATTAAGCTCTGAGCAGGCAGTGGCTTTTCCAGTCCAAATTCCAAATAACTTACATGATTGTCCCCAAACAACATAGTTAGGTCTGTCATAGTACTCCACAGTTCTGATACCAATTTCTGTCTTCAGTAGCTCTCTATAGCTTTGAAGAAAAAGAAGAAAACAAAACACGGTGACCAAAAACAACTTGAGGCGGAAAGGTTTATTTCATATTGACAGTTGTAGTCCACGAGGGCAAGTCAGGTCCGGACCTCAGGGCAGGAAGCTGAGGCGGAGACCGTGGAGGAGTGCTGTTTGTGGGCTTGCTCCTCGTGGTTTATCAGACATTTTATGTCACTCAGAGGATCTGCCCCTCAGTGCTGGGCCCTTCCACATCAGTCGCTAATCAAGCATATGCCCTACAACTTGCCTGGAGGCGATCTGAGAGAAGCATTTGCTCAATTGAGGGTTCCTCTTCCCAGATACATGTAGGATTGTGCCAAGTTGACAAAAAAAAAACAGCCAGGACAGTTGCCTTAGGTCCTTCC